ATACTGTAAGCTCCTTTAAACGAGGGGCTTTTTGTCTCAGTCAATTATACAGTTACAGTCGGTCCGATTATTATCTTGTATTCTCGGTTTCTATTTCTCCAAATCCGACGATCATTTGTCAGAATATGAATTATACTCAGGACTCAGGGTGCTTTGATTTTTCCTTCTTACTGCATTGTTTTGACCTGTGACCAAAGATCACCTTTGATTTTAACCCTTTGGTTAAAAGAATGCATATATTTTTATCCTCTTTTTAAAAAATTGAATCGATTATATATTATATTATAAGTTTCCCGAAACACAAATGCCGATGTGTCGTACAGACATCTACTATTTACTCACTACGTCGTGCATTAAAGGTTGTTTTGGTGACAGGTGAGTGGAGAAGAAAGACGAAGGCACGTCTCCACCTTCACACTGATGTAATGCCATTTATTCTTAAAACCTAGGAACTTGATTGTGATAAATAAAAGCCTCTGCACAAGAGATGGAGTGAGCCCTGAACGATGGGAGACGCAGGCGGTTTTGGGTTGAGGATCCCACACATGTGCCGACTCAGAGGGTTTACATTGTTGTGAGGAATCCCAGGTCAACAAACCCCCAGAGAGAGAAAGTGAGAGAGAGACCCGACCGAAGCCGGGAAGGAGGAAAACAAGACTCAACAGTCTTTTCTCAAGCCGCCTCACATTCAAACACTTGCAGTCTTGTTGGTTTTCACAACTGTGCACACACCCCCCCCCCACACACACACCCCCCAACACTCACACACATACATACTATTCATGCTTTACTATATATAGATTATTCACCGCGCTAACAAGAAGATCTCAGTGCTGCTTTCTTAACACAACCTGGCCTTTGTGTGTTGCTGAGACGTGAGTGCAGTGGCTTCATATTTGACTCTGCTCACCTTTTCAAACACCTGGAGGGAAACTCTGGTTCAACTTTCACCTATCACACTCGTGTGGCTGAGGCCCCTCGGGGCAATACCACCGATATCAATACTAATACTCAGTTTTTATTATTAGAGCTGTGTGTCTTGATTTCAAAAGCCTAAAACACAAAGATTTGCCACAGAGTGAGCATTTATTATAACAATCCTGATAATTACTTGCATATTAAAACATAATCCCACCGTTCTTAATTGAGAAAAACTAATTATTTCAGGTTTTACCCTCAAATAAAGTCACGTAGATAATCCATCTTAACTTTTCCTTTGTTCACAATAGAGTTGCTGAACTTGCAAGAGGCAGATTAAAAAAAAAGGGATGATCAAAATTGAAGCATATGTTTATTTTTAAACTTAATTTAGACGATTTAGTGACTGTATATAATTAATTTTAACTGTATTGTTTGTTTTGTTGGGATTTAAAGGGCCATCGTGTAAGAGTTGGCCGACTGTCGCATTCATACTCCAAACATATAGGGGGCATCATATTAACAGGAAGTTCAGGTTGTCCACACGTTTTGTAAGAAACAAGGAAACGGAAACGTCCCTTCCCCTGTGCCGTAGTCGGACTGGTCATCGGGCAAACCGGGACAAATCCCACGCCGGGGTCCTGTAGGAACGATGGCTCAGTTTTCCCTCTAATCTGCAGCAGGTTAACTTCAGATTAAAGTGAAGTTATTATAGTCAAGTCCACAAATAAGTGGATGACACACTAATCTCACTGTGTCGTACATCCTGGCCTTCAGTGCTCAACACTAACTTAATAAACACTTAAAATGTGCTTGTAACTATAATGAAGTAAATACAGGCCCCAGTTTTTTCTGCATTTTTAACACAGTTTTACAATAACTGTGGTGATTTCAGCTTCAAAATTGCAAGAATTTGCTGCTTTTCTTTCTCTCTCTTTCTTCTGATGTGAATATTTTCTTCTTTTACGGTCTTGAAAAACACAGAAAACTTTTCCTGACGTTACGCCAATTGAAAAGTGTGAGAAATAAAGCTATAATACAGTCTGTTTACATTGTAAGACGGTGCCTCCACTAATGGGCGTCCACAGGAGGAGTTACAGTTGCATTAATAAACACTTATATCTGCTTTTAAGGACATTATACTGTGTTATAAACTATTATTAAATGTTTTATATGCTGCTTGTGAAACCTAATGTCACAGTTTTACCTGATAACCGATTGATACAGTAGAATAAAGTAGGAATAGATAAAAAACACGTGCAGCATCTTCTCAGTGAGACGAACCCTTCAAACAGCCTTTTGCCTTCAGTTATGTAACTTGAAGTGTGTGTTGCAGCCATATGTCTCACTATGGGCCAAGAGTGTGTGTGCGTCGGTGAGAGTGAGCCACAGGCTGTGTGCATGTGTGTGTGTATGTGTGTGTGTGTGTGTGTGTGTGTGTGTGTGTGTGTGGAGAGGATCGTAGTGCACATGTGTGTGTGTTTGTGCATGGAGACGACGGGGGGAGTGTATGGGTTTACAGGGAGAAATCCAGCTGGCTCACAGGACGGGAATCAGACACCACAGAGGCCGACTGAGCCCAGAGACTGAGACAATACACACACACACACACACACACACACACACACACACACACACACACACACACACACACACACACATTGGTATTTAGCTCTTCTAGGAAAACCTACAGACAGGTAAAGACTTGTGTTGTGGAGCTGTGAGCGTAGGTCCTCTAAAGTCCTGAGGCTACAGATCCTGTCAAATACCAGCAGCCAGAATCAGAGCGGAGAGCTGCAGCTGCTCTGAGGTCAGATCACTGAGAGATTTACAGGGAGATTGAGTCGCCACTCAACGTTTGTTTTAAGTGATCAAAGAGAAAACGGATAAATGGATAAAAACCAAAATAAGCCTCTGAATAAAGAGGAAATGATTGTAAGTCGACGCGAGAGCTGCTGAATCATGTTGAGATCCACTTCACAGAAATGACCTAGAAGCGTTTAGGGAGCGTCTGTAAATAGTTGTGATTCTGTGAGAAGTCTGGATTCTGTTTCCGGGTTCATGCGATAATAATTCTCCAAACTTAAAATCTCTCGACTGAAACTTTAACACAGTGAAAGCTTCACTGACAACTGATATTATCTCTAGATGCAGCCCCGATTCATTGCATGACTGCACTGTAAAACTAATCTGGAAATAATAGAGGTGATAAAGTAGTTTATGACCGGAGGATTCACACTCACTCAAGTTCATTTCATCATAATCTTCAGTTCAGTTTTCTAGAGAAATCCTTCACACTGGAATCTGTTCTTTGCTGGATTCATAAAACTCTTTGGTGGGTAAAGTCTTTTTTTGTTTGTTTTTTTTTTTGCAGCAAGTCAACTTTTCTTCAAAGACACACGGTGTGAACTCCTGAGCTCAACCACTGTAACCAGTGCGGCTTTAATTAGCTCCAGTGTGTCTGTCTGCAGAAAGTTGGAGAGGTTGAGCTGTTAGAGAGATAAAGAGGGGATTTAAAGAAAAATCTCACATGCTGTGTGTCTGTGCATGTTCATTTCAATTCTTAGTGTTCTCCTGCACAAAATGTGAGCTAACTATTATTTATAGAAGATATATATTAGAGGAGGGACCAGAAGAAGATAATCTACAAACCTGTGCTTCATTTAATTTCACAAAACGAAAAGAAAGTTTTCATACTAAATTTTGATTCGAATGAAATATGTGTTCAGTCAACTGGGAATTCATGCAACAGGAGGCACTTGTCTGCACACCCCGCCCACTAAACAAACTTGGAATCTGCAAAGCACATTGGGTGTTTTATTTTGAAGGAAACCCCAGTGGTCACTGTACCGGTTCATGAGCCGGATTCAGACGTCTCTGATGGACTTTCAGTATGTGACTATCCGTAACTGAAGAATAACAAGGACTCAACTCTTCTCCCTTTGAATGATGCATATTTTCTGGTACTCTACTTGGTACCCCCCCCCCCCTCCCCCTCCAGTTGAGGGCAAGTCAAGGTGGAAGAAAACCCCTGAGCCCCAGAGCTGCAGGGGACCCTGAAGCACTCCAAGCATTAAAGCTATTTACTGTTTCAGACCCCCCCCCCACCCCCCCCACCCCCCCACCAGATGAGTCAGGGGGCTTTTACTAATGGAAAAAAGCAGCAATCATTATCCTTGAAAAAAAAAGTGCCTTCGCAATGAGTCACTGCACCAAAATCTGTCTCTAAGTGTTCCTATAACGAGTCCAAAAATAAAGTATTTTTAGCATTAAAGGGAATATAAAAAGATACAGTTGCTGCCTTATAACATCCACTAAAAACACAGTCTGTGCTCGATAAAATACGTCTTTTTAAAGTTTCACATCTTTAATAAAAGTTGTTTTATTTTGTCTTTCAAGATGAGTAAACTGCAGCTGAAACAATTCTGATCGTTCTAATCATTTATCAAACAAAAACATCAGATAGTTTTGTGTTTCCAGCCTCTCAGGTGTGAGTATGTGCAGACGTCTCTCTCTTTTCTATGATCAAAAAGAAAATCTAATTAAATATGTTTGGGCTTTTGCAGCGTTGGTCAGACAAAACAAAGTATTTGAAGACTTTAAGAACTTGTGATGGACACTTCTTGCTATTTTGCATCATTATCGTCATAAATTCTTTATATTATAAGTTTATGTGCCTGATAGTTTCAAGACTTTGTCCTTATTTTGCAAAAATGTGTTTAAATAAAAAGGAAAAAAAAAAGGGGGAAATGACAATTACCAGGCTGAGAAATAGTCTGACTTGCATCCTGGATCCCAAGGCTCAAGTTGTGAATGGAGAGCAGGGCACTACACACACACACTTAGCGCATTACCCTCCCCTCTCCTGTCTATTAAACCCTCACCACAGTGAGATAAAGGCGATTATTTCCCACCAAGAAGCTGCAAAGCCAATCACCGGGCCCTGATCGATCACTCACTCATGTCCTTTACGCACACACCTCTTCCCCATCTATCAACCCATCCATCCCTGATCGATAACTTACATTGGTGTAGAGCACAGAGTCGATCTCCCCGGCCTCAGACAGCTCGCTGAGGTTCCTGTCCCAGTGTAGGAACGATTCACTACTGTCCAGGATCTCCATGGTTCCCTCCACAGACTCTCTCCGGCCTTGTGGATGTGGTTTTTCTCCACACGCAGCAGCAGCAGCAGCAGCAGCAGCAGAAGAAGAAGAAGAAGAAGAAGGAGCAGCAGCGAGGGTTTGGTTGCAATGCAGGTCAGACTGGAAACAAAACTCCAGCGACAACTCCGGTGAAAAAAAAAAAAAAAAAAGTTCCCAACAACTTGTCTGAGTTCAGGAAAAGAAGAAAAAAACAGGAAGCAGAAACGCGTCGGTTCAGACTGAGAGAGTCAGGGAGCCGCAGCGGTCAGAGTCAGGCTGAGAGACAGTGTTGTTGTTGTTGTTTATCATCTCCTCTCTGGTTCAGGTTCCACACACAGCTTTCTGCAGCCTCTCTTTCCTTTTCATTCCTCCTCCTCCTCCTCCTCCTCCTCCTCCTCCTCCTCTCAGCCCAGACACACAGGAATGTGTGGGCGGAGTCACAGAGACCCAGAAAAAAAGGAGTAAATAAAGGAAATAAAATAGAAGAAGAAATCAAGAATCAACAGGTCTGAAGCTCACGGCGACTTCCTACCAGATATAAATTCAGCACAACACACCAGGAAATAAGTTAATGAGTCATTAATGTTTTCCAGCTGTTTGTGACACTAGTGTCAAACACCCATATTAATAAACGAGAGTTTCCGGTTTAATAATTAATTTCAAAATAAAGCTCTCATTCCTCATTTCAGGACACATTGATTCTCTACAGGATAAATAATAAAACTACTACCAATACTACTGCTAATTGTACGACTACTACTGGTAATAATAATAATAGTATGATTGATATGACGAAACTTTAAATAATCAAAATAAAAAATCATTAGATCTAATGATAAAAAGTGAGAGAAGGCTATGTGAGATTTTTTTTTTTTGAAGTCCACGAAATACTTTTTAAACAGAAATAAAAGACAATTTAAGTAAAATAAAAATAAAAGTGATATCATGATATAAAATGAGGATATTATCGCTGACACAAGTATGTTTGTATTTAATGTGGTAATGATAATCCTCCTTCAGACAAAACTGTACACCATGTAGTTTAAGTTACTACTTACAAACCGCCTTTAAGGAAAATTAAAATTTCTTACAAGAAAACGTTAAGTATATGTTTGTTTATTAAAAAACTTTTACTAAGCTTTTATGTATTTATCCTTACAATTTATTTTTTGAGCTTTTATTTTTACGTGCACATTTCCGGTCTCGCTCGTTGACGCTCCTCTAAGCTGAAGCCACAGGTTTCTCTACAACTCACAGCCCCGCCCACACCCTGCCGACTGACCAATCGGATGTCTCCTCTGTTTAAAGCCCGTGCTCCCGTGCGGCTGTGCCCTCCGCGCCTTTAACTGACAACTGATTCAGCCAATCGAGAAAGACTTCTTGAATTCCTGCGACCAATCACTTTAGGCCAAGCACACCTTTTGCGTAAAAGCCCGCCCGCGCTGTCACACTGCTGGACGTTGATTGGCCAATCAACGCCCAGCAGTGTGGACATTTAAAAATCAGTCATATTACAATGTTTACATTTCGTGAACTTAAAAATACATGTTTTAATGAGTTTTTATGCAAATATCTGCCACAATTTTTATCATGTATGTTATTATGGTTGTTTTTTAATGATATACTTATTATTATTCTCCTTTATCTCAAAGTTAAAGTATTTTGTAAGATCACTTCTTGATACTGGGAGGAAAAAAAAAAAGAAAAAAAAAAAAAGTGTATTACATGAACCGTTACAGAGAAATGAACCAACACTTGTGAGCTGAAAGCAACCAGCCGCTGTCCAGGAAGGAAATGAAAAACAGATAAGTGTGATAACAGTTGACAAGAGAGTGACAAGGCAGAAAACAAGAAGAAATGCAATTACACAAATCCAACTGTCATGTTAGTCAAATAATGTGCAGTTTTAACTATTAATTACTATAAATATTATAAATTCACGTTAGTCTCGTTGCTTTTCGACCCTCAGCTGTTCCGGTGATCTGCACTTTCATTACAGATTTACATGAAGTGAAAAGTGCAAGAAAAACAGAGAGTGAGACGAGTCCAAAACAAAAAACCTTTTTAAAAAGGTGAGGTCTCATGAGTACTTTGAGGTTAAATGGGTCAAACTTGTTGTCACATAACAGAGGGTTACTTTAAATGCCTTGAAGTCGACTGTGTGATGAGCTAAAACATTCAAACCAAATCCAATGCAGCACTTGAGGTCAATCTGGTGTGTTTTATTTAGGGCAGAGGACTCACACTAACTAGCTTGATACTGTTTTCTTTAAGGACGACAGCTTTCTCCTTGCAAATGAGAGGTAGCAAAAGAATTAAACCGTATGGAATAATAATCAACAGCTCACCTCTCTCAGGTTTAGAAAGAGATATTTAGGTATTGAGGTTGCCATGGTGCATCATGCTTCTCTAAAACATCTTTTTTTTTTTTTTTTAGATAATCCTGTATAAGTACAGTCCTTGTTGAAAAAAACAAAACAAAAAACACCAAATTTGGAGATGGAGAAGTTGAACTGGAAGGTGATAATGTGAAATAAAGAGGTAATTTTGCAACTTTCTTAGCAAAATAAACAATTAGTTATAAATAAACCAGCAGGAAAAGTGAAAATGGTAAAAAAAAATTTCTGTTGTGTCCCATGTCAGATTAGATTTTTGGCAGCAGCTCGAGTCGCCTTTCACTCCCAGAAATGATTCCTGAACTACTGAGCTTAAAGAGAAGTTGTCTTACCTGACACCATGACGACAAACTATCATATGAAAACTTTGTCTTTGATCTCCAACACGAGGAAGAGTTGCTCTTAAGAGAGCTACAACTTAATTTTTTTTTTAAACCTTGTACCAAGTCAGCAAACTACCACTTATGATTTAAGAGAAGTATTTCCAAACTATTTGGATGGATAAACAAAATGATTTCCTCCCTTAAACTCGTGCTTTCAACATTATTCTCACATATAAAACTTGAAAACAAGCAAATATGACATTAAGTGCCTCTTTTTAACTGTTATGTACACAATCAAACTCAACCAGTAACTGTGTATATGTGTATAAATATATACACACTACAAGAGCGGGCTGTTTCCTTTTTCTTCTTGATGCATCAAAGATTTCTTCTTCCAACAGTCAAACATGATCAGAGTGTCACAGCTTATTCTGTCCCCCTCTCTGATGGGTCAATTGGTTCCTTTCCTTGGAGGCTTTCAGGTTCTCAGTCTTATTTAGGTATGAACAAGAAGGTAGAAAAAGAAGTCGTGTTGTGGAGGAGAAGTCCTTCAGGTTCTGTCTCGCACGTTGTCGCTCAGGAAGATGATGTTGTCTGGAAAAGACAGAGGTGTTTTTATTTATTTTCTATTTTTTTTTTAAGACCATCAGAGATCATTTGTGTGTGTGTTTGTTTATTCTAACCTGCGATGATGGTGGTGGCCTGACGTCTCACTTGGTTCTTGTCCACATACTCCCCGTAGTCCAGTTTCCCCTCTACTAGAATCCTGGACCTGAAAGAGAACAGACTCAGGATCAGTCACAAAGGTTCCTGCCTTGAATCTCTGCACCTGACACAGAGAAATCTCATGGTTTTGAAGCCATAATAATAATAATAAAAAATAAAAAAAGTGTCTAGAATTAGTCACTCGTCATTCCCCATCTCCCCCTCCCCTCCCCTCCCCTCACCTGCTGTCACATCTACCGGGATAAAACGTCCACAAATAATTGAGAAATTTAAAAAGCTTCATGACTGAGTTTAAATCCTGATCAGTGTCAGCTAGAGGAGGGTGACGCAGAGAAAATCCACCGTCGTGTCAAATGAGTTTGTTGATTTTCTGCTACGTCACCGTATAAAAGGATACCACGACACACAGGTTTTAGATTAAATAACTGTTTTTCGCTGTGAAAACCCGACAACACAGGAACCGAAACATATTCAGAGCTTTTCTTCATGGAGGGAAAACTTGTGCAGCCACTTTCAAGACGCTAAAAATATAGATTTTGCATAGAGTATCATTTTCATATTTCACATACTGCATCACTGCATGTGCGTCTGTGTGCAAGATAATTCATATCCTGTACATAACTGTGTATACTTCACATACAGCCATAATAAAAGTGCTTTGTTAAGTTGAAAATAAAACCCCCCTGAGTGGTTCGTACCCTTTCTTGACGTACTGGTAGGCCACGTCTCTCAGACCGGGTTTGAACACGGACACGCGATGCCACGTCGTCTTCTGGCTGATGTCACCTGGAGTCAGGAAACAGCAGCACACACATAAATCAGTCGCATCATGACCCGTCGCAGTCCACACAGCCACACACGAGGAACATCTTGATGCAACAAACAGATGTTACCGTAAACATTAACATCTGAAACGTGACTCTCATCTGACTCTAGTCCCATTTTAATAAACCTCTCACACTCAGTTGGCAGTTTATTAGGAATACCAACCCAAAACCAGTAGAGTCTTTAAATCCTGCTTGATGAAGATTCTCATGTTGAGTTTGTGTTCAAACTGTTGTAAAGACGTGTTGATTCAACATCATGGTTTCTAACTGTTTTGTCCACCCCATGGTTTATATCAGTGAGGGGGAGGATAAACAGCAGCACCTCTCTGTATAATGCAAAACAGCTCAGCAGCACCAGAAACTGCTTCTCCCACAATGATCATTAAAACAGCTGAAACAAAAACTGAACTTAAAGAAGACAGGACTGTTTGTATTGAGCTGCATTAGCTTTAGCATGCGCACCAGATTATTACACTGCATGTTCACTTTCATTGAGACACAATTCAGGGGGTAACGCTGACCTCTAGTGGCAGAAATCAACACGGAGCACAGACGGTTGTTACTCTGACAACATTCCTTCACGTCATGTTTGAACTAAACATAGATCTGTTTTTTCATTTTTCTAATTTGCAGCTTAATAGTATGTTTATTTAACTTTTCCTTTGCTGATAATGTAATGAGGTTTTAATGCTTCATTTGTGAAGGATTTTTTTTCAACTTATAAAAAGGGGAAATTACAGCAACATTAAGTGTTATTTAGCTACCAGCACCTTCGCCAACACGTTTCCTGCAGGAAATACTGACACTGAAATGCCAAAGCATATTCCAGATTAAAAAAAAAATGAGCTAGTGCCCAACCCTGAACTGTAAACAGACTCAGCTGATTTATTTATTCAACTTCTGTCCTTCAGAAAAAGCATAAAATGACAAGAGCCTGTCAAAAGAGGAATGTCGGGGCAGTTTGACTTGCAGATAACTTCGAGAGAAACATTATGAGGGAGACAGTGACTCAGTCAGTCAGTCAATGCTGCTTCAACCTGCTTTAAATACATTTTATTTTTCAGTTTTTGCATCTCATTATGGTCCTTAATGTTGCTTCAGATGCTCTGCATTGTTTTTATTTGCTAATCAAAATTAAAGACAACCTAAATACAACGACATGAGCCCAAGACTTCAAATACCAAGGTCAGTCTGACTCTATCCGGTTTTCCCCTTTTCTGAAATGTAATTCTAAAACCGAAAACCAAACAGACAGACAACAGAGGAGCTGGTTCTCCAGACGATCACGCTCTAGAAAAACATCTAGAACCTTGAATAATATCCAAACTGTGTCAGCTCTCAGGCTCATGATAAGTTGCTGCATGCATAATAAACGCGTGGCTCTGTCTGCGTCCTTGTTGTCCGTTTGGAGGGTGGAGGTCGCTGCATTGCGCTGCCATGTTAAACACTTGTAATAACTTGTAATACACGACGAAAGTTACGTTGCATTAAAGAGCATTTTCCCCACATTTCTATCATTGTGTGTCGTCGTGACATCGCACCTGTTGAGGTCATCTCTCCGTCTCCAGAGCGCCACATCTCGTTTGTTGCCAACGAGAAGATGGTGACGGGGTTGCGACCGTCCACTTGTCTCATCACAGGATCCTGACCGACCCGACCCAACAGCTGCACGCGGTTTATCGCTGGGAGAAAGACACAGACGTCGTGCCAATGTGTATTTATTTTATATATTTAAAACGTGATATAAAGAATAGACAGGTGTGTTTAGTCAGAGTAAATCTTCTGTCATACAGACGAGCTTTACTTACATCTCTCCAGGATGAGGCTGGTGTCCGTGCTCCTGTATCTCACCGCCTGTCTGAAGAGCTGGAGGAAACCACGAACATTAAAACACATTATACTGAGGCAAAAGTGCATCTTTTTCATTGGTAGATAATAAATAAAATACAACTTATTTTTTCTATTTAAGCATTAAAGACAAACAAAACAGCAGCTACTTTCTAACAGAGTCTTACAAATGTTAATTACTCCACAGAAAAGAAGCTTCAGAATCATTTTCATTTTCTTTTTTTGCAGCTTTTTGCAAAAACTACAGAAAAAGTTTATATTTCAGACACTTTGAATTGTTCTTCAAAGATCACTGCTGCCAAACTGAGAGACCAAAACATCAAGAAACAGCCAAGATCTCTCAGCATCATCCTCGTACAAGTGTAATTAAATGAAAATAAAATCCCTCCAGTGAGATAAATATGGTTCAGTGTGACTCATGTCCTCCTCACCTGTGCTGAGGCACTTCTCAACATCTTCTCTGTGCTGCTCAGACACCTCTGAAGGAAGCGATGGGCAGACAAACGGCAGCTGAGGACTTTCTGACGACTGATCACAACACAAGGGAAAGGTTTAGTTTCACAGTGTATTGCACTAGATACAGACTGAAGTGTTTGTAACATTTTCTTTCCAAATTGAGGGTCGAGCTCATGTCAACTGTTTTCATAACGGTTTCAGTGATTTTAAAAACTCTCAGGTTCCAGCTTTGTCCAACATCTCAGTAAACACACATCCCTCTATCTCTCCCTCTTTATCCCTGATGTTGGCAGGAAGTTAAAAAAAAAACCCAGAAAAACTGTCCTACTGTTGGACTCTTTATCAATATTGTCAAACATCTTAGTAACAGACAGACATAATAGAATAATGGAAAAAATAATTGGCAGGAATGAAAATAATTGATTCTTGTATCAGAAAACCCCAAACCAACTGAAAGAGTCTCCTAAAAACATTTACATGACCATATGATTATTTTTATTTTATTTTGAAAGGCCCCAGATCAATGTATTTGCAGTGGCACAAAATTCATCCTTAAGCATCTGCTTGACTTTAAATCCTGCGACTGTCTCTCACTAACAACGACCTGCCCGACGATTGACATTGGTGTTTATTATTTATTTAAGTGTTTTAAGGTCATTTTATTTAATGTTCGCCACAACGTGAGGAGGGTTTCAACCGAAAAAGGCGAAGCAGCAACAAAAATAAACAGATTTCAAAATGGAGTTTGATTGTTTCGGTGAAATCTGAATCCGCAGTCAGACAAGCTGAAGAGTAAAAACGTGAAGACGGGGGGGGGGGGGACTCAAAGTCAAAGCTCCGGTTTCTCAAAGCAGCAACGAGGCTTCTGGAGACTCCCGCCATCGGATGTAGACACGAAATATCTCCTTAAAAAAAAATCAACGTTTTTCTTTGCGTGGTTCGGTTTGTAGGTTGCGGCGGTTGAGCAGCAGATAAACGGCGGCGTGTTGGTGGAAAACGGCGACAACGTTCATTAATAAATTTTAAAAAAAGGACAAAAGAGCTTTAGAGAAACTTACCAGGTACAACACTTCAGGAGAGACTTCGGTAACCTCACGCTGCTTCCGGTCCGTCTGCGAGACAAGTCCGGCGATCTACCCGAGCTGATTAAAGTTCCGCTTCTAAAAAAAATAACGTGACACACGTTTTTAAACATTTTAAAATAACACACGTTGAAATACTTAAAAAAAAAATAATAATTCAACATTTATCCTATTTTAAACTCTTCTCTTTTCATGATTTCACAATCTGGCAGATGAAGTCACAGTTTTGTGATGAAATAAATAAAAATAAATAAAAGTTGTAGAATGAAAACAATAATTCTCACACTAGTGTTTTTAAAAAAAAAAAATTGAACTTTATTTAAATATTTTATTTATAGAAACTGATGTTGGAATTGCCTGTGCTACCACAAACTACCACCAGGTGGCCGTCTACCTCCATATCATTAATTAACCTCCATTTCATTTAATTATGACAATTAAACATTGAAAGAGGAAACAATCATAACTAAGTAAAATATGAACAATACACACTAATAAAATAAATACAATAAATAAGGATGATGAAACAAAGATAATAAACAGAAGTATTTCAAAATCACAAAGCCAAACTATATACATATGGTTACCATTAAAGAAAACAGAGATATTAAAGGAAAATATTTAATGCTTTACAAGTCTTCACTGTTTTTATTGTTTTAGTATGTTAAAATAGCGTCCAATTATTATGGGTTTATACATGGGTTTCTTTTTGGTCCATTTGCATTGGTGGATGTAGTTTTTTCCATATAAAATAAAGAGATTCAAAATAAATAGTTTTTTTTTTTTACAATGTGTTAATCAGTATGATTCTTATCATAAAAAATATAATGTCTCTTTTATTACTATACAAATAGTTGAACCAGTCAAGGTTCTTAATCTTGCAGTGACGTACTGCTTGATTTCAAGACTAAAAGCTTATAGCTTCTTTTTTTGTTAGAAAATTGAAATAAACAGATTCTGTTTGGATTTCAATTCCAGTTTTCCTTCATATTTCCTTGCATGTTAAATATTTCATGTAAACAAGAGTTTGTGATTTCTCTTCTTATTCAAGTCTTCAGTTATATTTTTGGGTCTTGGCAAAATAAACTGTTCATTATTAATAGTTACATTATTTATTTGGCGTTATACAAAAAATAGCAAATTAAAAAAAAAAAACCTTCAAATTTGAAATAGTTGTTATTTGTAATTCCCAGTACTGCCAGCAGAGGGTGCGCTCGTTTCCCAGAGCCCCCCTTTGCCGCGCTGCTGACAGCGGGGTGGAGTTGTTCGGTTGGTTGGTGGGATGCGGACTTTCTTCTACAGGACAACTCCCTCCACCTCTCACTTTACACTTCACACACTTCATCAACACACACACATACATACACACACGCTGCGCTGTGGGACCATCATCCTCTTCGACGAGCTCCTCTGTTGGAGATGTCGCTTATAATCCACATCATAACAAGTTTGGGTGAGTTGAAGTTTTTTAACTGTACAAGTTTGTTTTTATGAAAACTGTTGAGGTGCTGTCAGAAAGCCTGGGCGGAATTTCATCCTCTGTAGCTGCCAACACTGTTCTCCCGCATCAACACATGTAACGAGATCCATATGAAAACCATTACTCACTGTTTTCCCTGTGTTTTGCCAGAAATTAGACTGTTCCCAAAGGTAGGAGGAAGGTGAAGCTGCTGCAGGGAATTTTTTTTTTTTTTTACAGAGCTGTAATGTCAGTTTGTCATGAAACACAACCTCAATCCTCAATTTACAGAGAGAATCCATGTTATGTTAATTTAAATGGCCTGACAGCGAGTCTGGGTTTTATAATAGAAACCAAAATAAAGAGTTTTTTTTTTTGGTGTTAAAAACTGGTGTCCTCCCTGCAGCCCTGTGGGGTCCCGTCAGGGCGCTGGTGCCAGAGTTTGCGGATGTTTGCACCGAGGGCAGCTGCTACCCCGCCACAGGTGACCTGCTGATCGGCCGGGCGCACAAACTCACCGTCTCCTCCACCTGCGGCCTGAGGCACCCGGAGCGCTTCTGCATAGTCGGACATCTTGAGGTAAGAGAGGAAGAAATGTCAGAATTCCTGATATTTAAGTCAGAATTCTGATTTAAAGTCAAATTTCCTGAGATTAAAGTCAGAATTCCTGTGATTAAAGTCACATGTGGCCCTAATCCTCTTCCGTAGAAAATACACTACAGTAATGGATCCTGTGGCAGAGTAACGCAGGGCCCTGTTGGTATCAGCAGGGTGAAGAAATATGAGAATGTAACCAACAGTTATCTCCATCATCAATAGGTCCAACAGTTATTTCCTGTAATAATCGATTGATTGTTCAGTGTATAACGCCCAAGTTATCACATTATAACTGAGAAAACTGCAAATATTAACATGTGAGCAGCTGCTACCTTTGATGTCTGGTATTTTTCTTCAAGTGCTTCCTTTAATTCTTTTGTCAATCAGCTAATCGATTGATTAATCAGTTATTTTTACTCTATAGTACAAGTTGTTTTATGTGTGTGGTGAATTAATGAAACTGACGTGCAATCAGGGCTCAATAAGGGTTAAAAAACAAATATTCAGGGCTCTTCAGGAGGTTAATCCATGATACCACATCACTGCTCTTTGCTCTGATCGCTTCATAATAATCATAATCTTGAACTATTGATTGATGCAGCAGCTTAATATAGACTAAACCACACAGAGGAACGCCCTCTGTTTCTTGTTTACTTCTCATTTGTGTTTGTGGTTTGCTTCTTTTATTGTCTGAGAGCCACATTATTCCCAGTGGGACCATGCATTCATTCACATGAGTTTTATGTGACGTATAATCGTAATGTGGGAAAGACTTTAATTGGCAGGTAGCAAACAGCTGGTTGTGATTAGCTTTGAAAAGCAAAGTCAGAAATGGGAGTTAGAAAGAGAATGACCATCACTAATGTTAATCAACTTTCCCAAGATTTTATGTCAAGAATTATGACGGTCGTGACGTAAACATGGTTAAATTCGACTAATCGATTATTATTATAAATGCGTCAGTACGGTGAGAGCCAATCACAACAAGGGTCGGATTCCTTGCATGTGTCATACTTGCCTGATTGCACGTATCATTAAAAAATCAGCCGGAGCAGAACCAAGAAAATACTTTATAATAAACCAAACAAAGTCTTCCCTCAACTTTATTTTGAACATATAAACCACGAGAAACACTCACTTGATTCGTTAAATAAATCAGATTGAGTGGATAAGTTGTGTTGAATTAAACTCATTCGGTATAAAGTGTCCATTTCCTGTTATTGTTGAGGAATAACTGCAGGTCACAGAAAGTGGGTCAGTTCTCAGTTCTCAGCACAGTATAAAATATAGCAGCGCTGCCGGCCTTGAAGATGGCTTTTTAATGACAGTGACTTATCGCTTCTGAATTCTAGCAAGAGAAAAGGTTCGATCCATCAAGTACAGTGATGAAAATGACTGAAACCCTCTACACCAGCTGCATTTGAGCTGTTTCTGTAACTGTTGTAACGATAGAGCAAGAGATTAAGTAGAAACTATTGAGATTACATTGTCGTTATGTGTGTGTGTGTGTGTGTGTGTGTGTGTGTGTGTGTGTGGGAGCAGGCACATGCACAGTATCTGCTCGCTGTCTTGTCGAGTGGGAGTGCAGACATTCCCCTCCACAATAAAAGCACTGTGTGGCGCACAATCCCTGCCCTGTTGTGCGCGTTGGTCTGAGCGGGGGCGGATGTAGGGGATATTCTCCTTTTATCAAACACCCTTTGGCGAGTTCCGTCTGTGAATGGCGTCCTTATGAAGACGCAGTGTGGGGCCTCTCTAGAGCTGAGGATGAGCACAGTCGACAAGTATGAGCTGCAGATGAGTAAGGGAGAGGAAGTCCAACTCAAGTGGCAGACTTTTTTTTTTGTTTTGTTTTGTTTAATTCCGCTGCTGAGTGGAGCCACTTATCCCGACTCCGCTCACATTTCAACACAGACACAGTTGGCCGGGTCCGGGGTGAAATTGAGAAACTCATCTTGTTTATTCAAACACTGAGATGTTGTGAGGTTTAAGTGTGTGTGTGAACCAGAGTAGAGTTTGTGTTCATGCCAAACATTACGACGTGCGCATTATTAAACTGACACACTGGAAACATGATATATTCTGTACGTCATTTGCTTGGATTCCCAATTACTACATGGCCAAAAGTATGTGGACATCTCAAACTTACACCCATGTGTGATTATTAAACATGTGATTCCAAAACTGCTGCTACAAACGCCTCCACCCTCTGGTTTCAGGCGTTACACAAGATTTTGGAGCAAACTGTTCCCCTGATGGAGCCTGTAGAGACCGACAGTGATGAAGTTCTAGCTAAAGATCTGGATTAATGTGATCTGGAGCTGGATTCTTAGGACAGCTGGCTTTGGTGAAAACGGAGGGGGGAGAGGTGGAGGTGGTTTGCACTGATCAGACTGATTGAACTTTCACTATTCGTCACTTGTGGGGTTGGCACTGATGACCGGAATAAAAAATATGAAAAACATCCTGAGAATTTCATTCCTCCCCCTATCAGACTTTACAGATGAACTAGATATGAGACAAATAGCAAATTAATTGATTAGTGCTTCAACAGAAAATCAATCAGCAACAATTTTCACAGCAAAATCGCAAAAAAAAAGTCCCAGCTTCTTAAATGTGAGGTTTTGCTGCTTTTCTTTGTCTTCTAGGATAGGAAGCTGAACGTTTTGGGGGTTTTTATTCCTTTTTTGGACAAAACAAGCAGTTTGAAGATTGATTAATCATTAAATAATCTGTAGGTTAATTGATAGTGGAAATAATCATTAGTTGTACAGGTAGATGCAATTAAGCAGCGCAACTCATCAAAAAGTCCTCAGCATTAATTGATTTTACTGGAACTACTTTCTTCCAAATAAATCATTGATAGCCTGTTCTGCTTATTAAACACAGGAAGAGAATTTTTTCCAGAGAAGGTTTTACTTGTAATTTGGGTGAACTGACCCTTTAACCCTTTCTAACCCTCTGTCCATCAGGAGGAGAAGAAATGTTTCGTGTGCGACTCCAGGCGGATGTACGACGAGGACAACAACCACGTCAGCCACACCATCGAGAACGTGGTCACCACCTTCGCACACAACCGCCTGAAAACCTGGTGGCAGTCGGAGAACGGTGAGAGACAGAAGACACACCTGAGTGTTCGCTCTTGAATTAAAGAGACTGAACTTCCTGTCCACTCCTGGTTTGAAGTGAACACAGAGCAGAGCAGCGTGTGAGCTCTCACTCAGACCGTTCTCATGGGAACTGGGCTCAGTAATGACTAGACAGGAGATCACAGAGCCTCTGGCTGCAGCCAATCACAGCAGGCCTAGGAGGCGGGGCTTACAGGTGGACTGAGGAGAACAGGTGTGCAGGCGGGAAACAGATGTGTGTCATCACTTGAACTCACACAGGACTTTAAAGTGGGAAAAAGAGAAGTGTGTAATGAGACACGGAGGGTCAGAGGACTCCACGGCGGGAAGGAGAAACTGGAAACGTATCTCAGTTTCAGGGATTTTACAGGATTTAATATCACTAGCATCAAACATCTAGTAGCACAAGGAGAAAGTTCACTGGTGTATAATCATAAAAACTCTCCAGGATAAATATAAAACATCAAAATACAGCTACAGTACACTGAGTTCAGAGTTTATTAGTTAAGCCAATACCCTATTCAATAGATTTGTAATCGTAATGTGTTCTGAGATGCCGTTTCGCTCATTTATGTTGAATTTGGAATTTAACTTTTCCCACTTTTTTACCACCATAGTGGTAAATATCTTTACTTTCAGTCAATCTGATATTTTCTAGAAAACCTTTCCAAAGTCTGCGTGCAGAAACTGAAATTCCCTGTTGTGGGAAAAAGGCACGACCACTGAGCTCCCCTTGTGTTTCCTGATCTCCTCAGGAAACTGATATACAGCACTCTCTGCAGACAGATGCCCCATGACTTATTTAAATATACAGAATGTGTTTAGTTTGGGTCGTTCCAGAGTAATAACTATTCCAAACAAACTGGCAAATCATTATATTTGACACTCCGTGAAATGAAAACCCAAAGCATCTCCATCATGACATCAATAAAGCAGCAGGTTCTCATGCAGACGAACTCTAGCTCCCACATTCATGCTGTACATGCACACGCTGTTCCCTCAGAGCGGTGGGAATCTGTCAGAGGTGTGAGTCATGGAGGGAGCGGCGGCCAGCTCTGCAGATGGCCTTCAGACAGCAGGAAGCTGCAGACACACAATGGCTTTGCTTGGGATTTCCTAATTCCCTCGCAGTAGTCCTCCAGTTCCATCTTGGCCTCCGAGCTGCACCAGCTGTTTAAGTTCCAACATATAGTTTTCATAACCGGAGGTTTACGCATCACTAAATTAAAACTGCTGCACCACACAAACTAGTTTTTCCATAGAGATCAGTTGTTACTGAATATTTACACCCAATAACTGCCAGATGTGACTGTTATGTAGCTAACTGAACCAGCTGGCCCACATAACTAGCAATAGCTTGCTAATTTATTAATATATACTTGCTAAAATATGACTTGTTTAATAAACTATTGTGAAGGCTGACTGATTAAATGACGACTTCCTACTTTTGAAGCAGTCGTGAAGTCCTATTGTCTATCTATTCCTCAATTATTTATGTTCCTTCAGTTCATAAGGGTCCACAGAACGAAAGATTTAAAAGCATTTTACATAAAAAGTTGTGAATGGGAAAAACATTTCCGATAAAACACAATATAACCTCAAATAACAAAACATAGTAACCCTAATAAACAAATAAGGTTGATTAGCACCCAAAGTCTCCAAACTGAACTAGATAACTGACAGAACTATCGATAGCTTCCTTATTTATGATCTGTTTAGATAAAATATTTACGTTAACTTAAAGGTAATGGTGCTGAATATCTATGACTTTACACACAAGTTAAGAGAGGAATTTGCAACACTATCCAGAACCGAAGCTTTAAATTGATTAGATTTGTGTCTGGGCGGACAGAAAGAGCCTGTAAATGTTGAGCATATGTCACAGTGTGTGAGAAACTTTGGGGTGTGTGGTCTGTTGACATTTTACATACTGAACTCTTATGAATGGAAAGAAAGAGTCGTGGCTTTAATGGTTGATTTCCTGTGTGTTTCCCCTCCACCTGCAGGTGTGGAGAACGTGACCATCCAGCTGGACCTGGAGGCCGAGTTTCATTTCACACACCTTATCATGACCTTCAAGGTGCTCGCTCTCCCTCTCACGCACACACACCCCCACAAACATAAAACACACACACACACACACACACACACACATAACATATCATACAAATACTCTCATACCAATGGCACGGAGATAAACACAGCGTCGAACAGCTGTCGTTGAGGAATGTGGAAAATCGCTCTGGTCTCTGGGGAGCGGTGGGAAGAAGAGGAGGAGGGAGAGGATGAGTTCTGATCGCTGTCACATGGTCGGCTACGATGGCGGACAGCTGGATTCATGCCCTCCATTGACATAGTAGTGAAAACACCCACTTAAAGACTCGCATGCAACATACTGTACATCCTGTCCCGTCATGTGTTCAGTGAGATGGCAGGAAAGATCAACATCTTCAGCAGCCGCCACCCTTACAGCAATGCCAGCACACTTATATCCAAACCATGAATTATCATTGTTTCACAATGAGATGAAAAGGTATAAGAAAACCTACTTTACCTAAATTTAAAAGTCTTCACAACTTAGATTTTTGAAACATACATTTATGACAATAATGCAAAGTAAATCATCGCCGGTGATTCAAATTTCCAGTGAATGACACCGAGTTGGAAAGAAAAAAAGCTGTTACAAGTCATGAAGTGATTATTTCTGTCTGTATCTGTCCGCAGACGTTTCGTCCGGCTGCCATGGTGATCGAGCGGTCGATGGACTTCGGGAAGACGTGGCAGGTTTATCGTTATTTCGCCTACGACTGCAAGTCCTCGTTCCCCGGCGTGTCCTCCGGGCCCCTGGTCAAAGTGGATGACATCATCTGCGACTCCCATTACTCAGACATCGAACCGTCCACAGAGGGAGAGGTGTGTTTGGCCCTCTGAAGTTTTTTTTATTTATAATTATTTATTCGTCTGTAGAAGTTTATCTCTGTAATATCTGAGTTTCTGATGCAGGAAAAAGAAGCAGGTAAAAGTACAAAATACAAACTTTCACCTGATTTCTGATCGTAGGTGATTCTACGAGTGCTGGACCCGGCCTTCAGGATCGATGACCCCTACAGTGTGCGGATACAGAGTAAGTTGCTCATCGCAGGGAATTTGATTTGACCACAGACAGATGACAGCGCTGAGACGATTTCCAGTAACTGTTAGTCATCTGTAGCCCAGGCAACAGGAGGTCAGAGGTCAGCTGGGAAAAGCACCGGAAAGAATTTCACATGTGGAAGCGACTCTGCCTTTGTACACTCACCTACACACACACACTCACACACACTCACCTACACACACACTCACACACACACACACACACACACACACACACACACACAGGCAGAGGCCTCATGTTAAGTATGTGCTGAATGCTGTGGGTGTGTGAGGAACAGCAGCTTTACAGAAGAGCGACGAATGAGAGACACTGAACTCATCCTCCCCTGGATAAACAAAGTGTGTGTGACATATCTGTGTGTGTGTGTGTGTGTGTGTGTGCGCACGCGCAGACATGTTGAAGATCACCAACCTCCGGGTGAAGTTCATCAAGCTCCACACGCTGGGCGACAACCTGCTCGACTCCCGCGACGAGGTGACGGAGAAGTACTACTACGCCCTCTACGATATGGTCGTCCGCGGAAACTGCTTCTGCTACGGCCACGCCTCCGAGTGCGCCCCGATGGATGGAGCGCCGACGGGAGCCGAGGGCATGGTACATGAGACACACGCTCACAGTCAACTGATAAAAGAAAGAAATATAGAGCAGGAAATAAAGACATTGAGTTTTTTTATTCCTTTGTTATTTATTTTTATTATTGATTTAATTTAACATAAAGAAAAGAATTACCAAAATAAGAGCTGCATTGAGACTGAACGTTCATGCTTGACTTTGGGAACAGCAGTTCAGCAGCAACTTTACACTCTTACCACCTCAGTAGCTGTTCTGGAGCTTTCGGTTGCTTCCCATGGTTTTCCTCAGCAGACTGAGTGTCCATCAAGAAACTGAGGATATTTAAATTTCTTTTTTTTTCTGTTCGGTTCAGATTTGTTTTTTGTGCTTGGAAACATCATATAATAAAATAATGAAAACCCAAGGTCCATTTAGTAGCTATTCTATAGCTTTTGAGCATATCGCATGATCTTCATCAGTTGAATCCATGGATTAAACAGATTATTTTCTCAATGTTAAGAATGAACTTCTCACCTGAGTTTTTAAATTTAGCTTTTAAACATTTTTTTTTCTCGCTATTTAGTTAAATGATGATTTTTCAACTGTATCTCACCGTCTTCATCAATGAACGGCGCTGTGAAAAGTCAGTAAGATGACACTTGAGTTGAGATTTGTCGCACATGCAGGAAATTAACTTCCATTCCCCCAAATTACGTAAAAATTTTGGTATGTTGCTCTTTGCTTCAGATAAAATTCAATAAGCAGCTGTCGGATTCTGGCTGTATTTTGGTGGTTTATGCTGCTCAAATCAGCATTAACTTACCTTTGTGTGCAGGTGCACGGCCGCTGCGTGTGCAACCACAACACTGAGGGACTGAACTGCGAGCGCTGTCAAGACTTTTACCAGGATTTGCCTTGGAGACCTGCAGAGGGACGAAACACCCACGCCTGCAAGAGTGAGAAACAAAGCACTCTCATTTCTGTATATGAAGTATGCAGCTATAGCCAGTTAGCTTAGCTTAGCTTAGCATAAAAACTGGAAACAGGGGGGGAAACAGCTAGCCTGGCTCTGTCCTCTAAAGCTCATCATTGATTATATATTATATTACAATTTGCAGATAAACAAACTAGTTATCGTTTCCTGGCTCAAACTTCATTCAAATACATTTACACAGAACTTTTATGAAGCCAGTTTACGAACATTTAATATTGAATTCAAACCAGATTAAACTATTTCAATAATCGATTAATAATTTCAGTCATTTATCAAGCAGCATTTCCTTGTAGTAGCTTCTTAAATCTGTGGATTTGCTGCATTTCTCCATCTATGACAGTAAATTCAATATATTGTTTTTTACTGAAAATGTGACTGGCTGACAAACATATGAGGAAAATAATATATAAAACAATGGGATAATACATAAATACTCACAGGTATGAAAAGTACAAGAATAATATATAGTTTATAAGAGTAAAGTCTATTGACAGGATTTGAAAATGGAATAAAAACGCACGTTTTCAAAGGAAAGACCAGCAGTAAACTCACTTCTCTTTCTCAGAGTGCGAGTGTAACCATCACTCCGCTTCCTGTCACTTCGACCTGGCCGTTTACATGACGACCGGCAACATGAGCGGAGGCGTGTGCGACGACTGTCAGCACAACACGGTGGGCCGGCAGTGCGAGCAGTGCGCACCCTTCTATTACCAGCACCCCAACAGAGACCTGAGGGACCCCAGCGTCTGTGAACGTACGTCACCTCCGCGTAACCTCTGACCTCTGACTGTCCCACTGCTCTTCCTCTTCCTCCTCTTCCTCCTCTTCTTCACGGTCCACTCTGCTCATTACGCAAACAAGACAGTCCTCGACCAGGACGCGTTCCTCTGTGTTTCGGCCTCAGACGAGCAACATCTGGAGCCGCACTCAGCAACTGTGTTCAAGTCTTTGAAGTGAAAAGCAGAAAGTAGCCGTTGTTACAGCATGATTGTAATTACCTGCTAAGTACTGGGTATGAGTGGAAATAGTAGCAGTAAAATAAGAACAAACAGCATCTTTTTTTCCCGCCCCTTCTTTTCTCCCTGGTCTTTCAAATGACACACCGCCTCTGCATCTCTCTGCTCTTCAATGTCTTGTCCTCTCTCACCCACAATTTACTCACTGCATCAGATCGTGTTATTATAAGTTAAGCTCGTGTTATTTTGTCCTGATTTTCTATTACCATATCAAAAACTGAAATAGTTTTAAGATTAGCAGAGTTTTCAGGCGTCACATTTCAACATATTTCCAACATTTGTTTTCTGTCTGCTCCCACCAGTCCTCGTTTTATTTCACAAGATGTTTCAACATTCATTGCTCTTAAATCTGCGGTTTATATTCATGATCCCTGGAGGATACATGCTAATGTTTTTGGTTAACCCCTGGCCGTTTATCTTGCTTCATCATCATTGCCAAAAATGTTCCACTTTTACAGAGAAAATATCTTAATCTATTGGGCAGATTTAGACTAAATTCACTGTGAGCATTCATTCTCCCCAGAGGATGAACCCCCGTACATTTTGGACACTTTGTGAATTATTCCTCCAGTAACAACCCAAAACCAACTTTTCATCTTTGCACACAAGATATTTAGATTGTCATGTGATTCACTTTGTGGTTTCAAGTGGAGGAACCTTTTTGCAGATAAGTCTCTAAGAATATCAAGATCATTAGTGTGTTGTTGAGAAACATCACAGCCGGGATTTAGACGTTTACTTTTGTCTTTGTTGCTGAGCAGATTTCCTTTTTTTCACTTTTTTGTTTTCCTTTCTCGCTCTTCCTGTGTCCACACACGATCTCCCTAATGTCGTTTTTTCATGCCTCCACAGCGTGTAACTGTGACCCGGACGGGTCTCTGCAGGGCGGACTGTGTGATTCGCGAAACGATGTGGCGGCTGGGCTGATCTCAGGCCAGTGTCGGTGCAAAGCCAACGTGGAGGGCGAGCGCTGCGACCACTGCAGAATGGGACACTACGGGCTGGGACAGGGGCCTGAGGGCTGCCTGCGTAAGTCACCATCAGTCCATCAATTATTCGGTTAAAGATGCGTTAATTTCATCATTATTAACGGGTAAATTAATGGACTTCTAAGGTGGAAAGGTGCCTGTTCCTGGAGAACTTCACATGAAAACTGTTTATAACACAGACACAGTTGTACTGAGTGTACATATACAAACAGATACAGTGGGACAGGCTGACGCTGTTCAACCTGCTGCTTCTCTGTGTGTTTTGGCAGCTTGTACCTGTAACCCGCTGGGAACTCTGCCGGGAGGAAACTCCTGTGATTCAGGCTCCGGAAGGTGCTTCTGCAAACGGCTCGTCGACGGACACAACTGCGATCAGTGTCTGGTACGGATCCAAACACAACTGTCGGCCTGAGCCTGGACACGTTTCCCTCTCTGTGTGTGTGTGTGTGTGTGTGTTAACCGGAATCACACGTGTTTGCCCTCTTTTCTTTTGTCTACAGCCGCAGCACTGGGGTCTGTCCAATGACATGGATGGCTGCAGACCATGTGACTGTGACCAGGGCGGCGCTGTTAACAATAAGTGAGTTTAGAAAACTAGAATCACCTCCTCACGGTCGTATCCCTCCGCCACTCAGACTAGTTCCAGGTTACATCTCTGTTTATCCAGAGTCATATCGAATATTCACCGTTTGTGTGAAATTTTGTGTATTCTTGAGAAATGGCTAAAAAGTGTTTTGTGAGGTGTCCGTGACCTTTGACCTTTGACCAACAATATCTAATCAGTTCGTCCTTGAGTCCAAGTGAACGTTTGTGCCGCATTTGAAGGTTTTCCCTTGAGGAGTTCTTGAGATATCACGTTCACAAGGCACAAATTATGTTTCGTGAGGTCACCGTGACCTTTGACCTTTAGCCACCAAAGTCTAATCAGTTTGTCCTTGAGTCCTAGTGAATGTTTGTGCCACATTTGAATGAGTTACATCTAGTCTTTTCTGAGATACCGTGTCCAGGAGAATGGGATGGACAACCTAAAAACAATATGGCTCCATTTTCTCATTTTTCCATCAATTATAAAAAAATAATATAAAATATAATATAAGAACATGAAAAACACGGACACCGCCATGTTTCTAATATCTGCTGAAGTGCGTGTCTCCGTCCACAGCTGCGACCCTCACTCAGGACAGTGCGTGTGCAGGGAGCACATGTTTGGACGGCGCTGCGATCAGGTCGAGTCCGGCTTCTACTTCATCGCTCTGGATCACTACACCTACGAGGCCGAGGACGCCGAGCACGGACCCGTGAGTGTGTGTTTTAACGCACCATCTGTTCGCCGGTGCTTCGGTGTTGTTCTCAGACGATGTGAACCGCCTCTGTCTGTCTCTGCGTCAGGGTGTGACGGTGGTGCAGAGGCCTTACCCTCTGGATCGTAGCCCCACGTGGACCGGGATGGGTTTTGTAAACGTGCCAGAAGGAGCGTACTTAGAGTTCAACATCGACAACATCCCAGAGTCCATGGACTACGACATCCTCATCCGCTATGAACCACAGGTGACTAATTTAACTGTTAAGATTAACTATCTTTAAGTTTTAAGAAAGGAAAATAACTGTGTGTGTGTGTGTGTGTGTGTGTGTGTGCAGCTGCCGGAGCAGTGGGAGCAGGTGAACATCAGGGTGCAGCGTCCCGTCGTCAACCCTCCTAACTACTCAGGTCACTGCAGAAACTCCATCCAGAGCGGAGACGAGCAGACCCTCTCTCTTCCACCTGGATCCAGGTAACGCGTCAGTCCACCTGAGTGTGTCTGCCTCTCACACACACACACACACACACACACACACACACACACACACACACACTGACTCTCCGCTGTGTTTCAGACACGTGTTGCTGGTGAGGCCGGTGTGTTTCGAGCAGGGACTGAACTACACGATCCGCCTCAGTCTGCCGCTCTACTCGTCAATCAGCAACGTCCAGAGTCCGTACACGCTCATCGACTCTGTACGTGGAACACACACACACACACACACACACACACACACACACAAAACACACATGTTCACTGAAGTTTTTCATAAAAAAACCTCACTCCTCTCTTCCTTCAAACCTATGTTTTTATTATGGTTTCCATCCCCCTGCATTCCTCCTCCTCCTCCTCCTCCTCCTCCTCCTCCAGTTGGTGCTGATGCCCCGGATTCGGGAGCTGGACATGTTCCATGGGATCGAAGGTGATGGAGCGTGGGATACATTCCAGCGCTACCGATGTCTGGAGAGCAGCCAGAGCGTCGTCAAGAGTCCCATGACCGACATCTGTAACGACTACATCTTCAGCGTCTCCGCTCTGCTGCACAAAGGAGCCATGGGTGCGTAGTTACGTGTTTGTGCAGCGGCAGGCGTTTTCCTTTTTGAGTTACGTTTGTTATAGCGGTCTCATAAATATCCTCCTGTCTTATTTCCCAGCGTGCCAGTGTGACCCTCAGGGTTCCCTCAGCGCCGTGTGTGAGTCCAGCGGAGGTCAGTGTCGGTGTCGACCCAACGTGGTCGGCAGGAACTGTGACCACTGCGCCCCGGCTAACTTCCTGTTCAGCCCCGCCGGCTGCAGACGTGAGTGTCGGACATGAGTTTCACAGTTTGAAGCTGATTTAAAAAACAAAATGATAACGAGAAGTGTAATCATTTAAATTTCTCTCCAGCGTGCGACTGTGACCCTCAGGGCTCGGTCAGCGCCTTCTGCCACGAGGCCACCGGCCAGTGTGAGTGCGTCCCCGGGGCCGCGGGTCGCCAGTGTTCCCACTGCCTGCCGGGCTTCTGGGGCTTCCCTCAGTGCCGGCCCTGCCATTGTAACGGCCACAGCGAGTACTGCCACCCTCAGACCGGAGAGTGTCAGGGCTGCAGGGACTTCACCACCGGACACCACTGTGAGAGGTACCACGTGCCGATTGGTCGACTGTGACTGTGGTCATTGGTCGACCACCCAACGCTTTTGTATTATGAGTTGCAGAGTTTAGAGTTTCGGCTTTACTTTGCAGCGTGTGGAAATGTTCTCTTGGTTTCTACAGATTCTCTGCAGCAGTTCATGAAGTCATAAGTAGAGTCATGTGTGTTTAGGAAACCTAACCTTTCCCTCCAGGCAGCCTCACAGAGCTAAATCAAAGGCATCAGGGAGTCTTTTCTACTTAACCTTTCCCCTTACTTCCAGATGTCTGAGTGGTTACCACGGTGACCCAGAGCTGGGTTCAGGTAGCCACTGTCGCCCATGCATGTGCCCCGACGGGCCGCGCAGTGGACGCCAGTTTGCTGACAGCTGTTACCTCCTGGATTACACTAACCAGCTGGTGTGTGTGTGCAGCTCGGGCTACAAAGGTAAAGAAACACAGATTTGTTTCAAGTGCTCAGAGCTTTACATCATCACACCGTGGCCCCTGTAATTAGCCTCTTCCTCCAGATACATGAGGGGAAGATGAAAAAAAAGTCTGTTTCCTGTCCTTTGTCCAGGTGCCAGGTGCGATCAGTGCGCCCCGGGTCACTTCGGGAACCCTCTGGTGCCCGGCGGGCGCTGCTTGCCCTGCCAGTGCAACAACAACATCGACATGCAAGACCCGGGGTCCTGCGACGTCCGCACGGGCGCCTGCCTCAAATGCCGGCACCACACCGACGGCTACGGGTGCCAGCACTGCAAACTGGGTTACTACGGCAACGCTGGCACACAGAGCTGCAGGAGTGAGTACGGCTGTTGATGTCACATGACTTACTGACCAGCTGACTTCCCAAAGCTAATTAATGATAATTTAATTTCTTTATTTTCTGTAGCTGCTCCCAGTAGCTGCCAGTGCACATGGTTTATAAATGATGAAATGACTTTTTTAAACACACACCTTTCCTTAAATAAAGTTTGAGTTGCAGAGTTGGAGTTGGATATTGTTGTCCAACCTATTCTATTAATTCTTGTGTGTTTCAGCTCTGGTCATATTTGTGTGTAAATTAATTATTTATCTCCATAACAAACATATGTCCCCAAATGCAGTGTTTCTTTAACTCAGTGGTTCTCAAAGTGGGGTCCGGGGACCCCCAGGGGTCCTGGAGGAGGAACCTCGGGGTGAATCATTTATTTTCGCTATAATTCCATCAATAAGAAACACAGGGACAGAATGTGTGAATATTTTGGTCTGTGGGTTTTAAACACTTTCCGTAATAAAACATCGAAAAGCAAACATGGGATCAGGTGGAGGACACTTGTCTAATTTGTGTCAGTTTCGGTTCCTTGAAAGTTTGAGAACTACTGCTTTAACTATAACGAGTACGATCACACAAACTACCAGCGACTTTAACCCAAATATGAGTTTGAGCTTTTTGAATCTCTCCTGTGTGCAGAGTGCATGTGTCACTCGGTGGGCACGGTGCCTCAGGCCTGTTCCTCCCCCGACGAGTGCCAGTGCAATCAGCGCACCGGTCAGTGTCCCTGCCAGCCCAACGTGGTCGGTCAGAACTGCGACCGCTGCACCGCCGACACGTGGAACATCGCCGGCGGGACGGGCTGCCAGCGCTGCGGCTGCGACCCCGTCCACTCCTTCAGCTCCTCCTGCAACGAGGTGAGTCACACACAGTGATGAAGACCAAACCCTGCAGCAGCAGCAGCGCTAATTCTACTGCTAATCATTCCCACGTTATAATGTGGGAGAATATTTTAACCCTTAGAGACGCATTATGAAATTCCACTCAGCAAAATCCAACATCTGTCTGCATCACTGCGTTAACGCCGCAGCAGCTGCTTCTGCTTGCTCTCTGTGAATACGATGTACAGCTGAACTGAATCCTACAAACTCATCTCTCAACGAGCTGCTGCTGCTGCTGCTGCTGCTGCTGGCAAACATTTCCTTATACAATGTGCAGACTGGCAAGAAAAAGTGTTTCCAAACAATTCCCATTGAGAAAGAGCAGCATGGCAGCAGTAAGTCACTGTGACCAACACATCTAATCACACAGGCTTGTTTGTGTGTGTGTGTGTGTGTGTGTGTGTGTGTGTGTGTGTGTGTGTGTTTTTTTTTTTTGATATATGGACTCCAGCTGTTTGGGAATTGCCTCGTTCTCTGGCTTTTTCTGTCAAACACACGGATCTACATGTGTATACTCTGCACATAAAGAACAGGACAGTGTGCACCCACTCTCTCTCTCTCTCTCTCACACACACACACACAAACATTTGGGGTTTCTGTGTTTACTGGCTGCTCTCCATCAGAGGAAGGAAGTCTCAGAATACACTGTGGAATAACTGAATACACATTTCTCTAAGAGAAAAGAGACACATCTAACTACAAAGGGCCATTGTGTCTGCGAGTAAAAACATACAAGTCTGAAATTTCAGCCTCTTTTCCTCTTCTCCACACAAAACCCACCAGCTCCAAACCCGTGCACCTTCTGTGTGATAACATTTCCTGACGTTCTTTGTGTTTTGTTTTATTTCCCGCTCCAGGTCACGGGACAGTGCTCGTGCAGACCCGGGTTTGGTGGCAGGACGTGTCGGGAGTGCAGAGAGCTGTTCTGGGGGGATCCTGAAGTGAAATGTCACCGTAGGTCACCCTCACCCCGTCACCAGGAAACACACGAAACAACTTCAGTGTTGCGTCATTTATTGTGACGGCGACGCATTTCACAGTTCGGCACATAAGATTTGAAACAGTGGTGATGAAGTTAACGCCGCCGTGTGAAAGGAATTTGAATTTAATTCTCAACTTTGGTGCCACCAAGTGGTTTTTATCGGAAAAGACCATTTAGGACGTAGTTCAATCATGAATGACATTTAAAACAGAGCGTCATCTACAGTTTCCCCTCAGCATCTTCCAGCTCGCCGCTTTGCTTCATTCTTACAGCGTCGTTTTCAGCACCAAACACACGCAGTGTAGAGACTAGCTGATGAACGTAGCGCAGCATCTGGGTCACAAACTGGAAGAACCCAGAGTGGTGAAACATATTGACAGCTGAACTGAGGTCAGGTGAAAGACGGAGCGGCCTGGGAACATGCCGCTGTTAGAACGTAAGAAATTCCTCGGTGGCTCTGTTTGTATGTTTAAGGATCATTGTCGTAACACTGGGGAACGTGGCCACGACTCCTTCGCTGTTCGCCCAATATGGACTTGAACACACTCTAACAGCCTTAAATGTCATGGTCACTGTTTCATTTCAAATCCAAAGTACAGAGTCAAAACATCCTGACTGTGCTGCGTTCTCCTGTTCCTGTTTCCTTCTCCCTCCATGTGTGGACTGAGCTGTCTCCTCTGAGTCACCCTGTCTGAAGACCTAAGCTTTCAGTTGTATTTAACGTGGTTTTTCTCCTCCTTTCGTGTGTGTTTTTGTCTGTGTGTGTGTGTGTGTGTGTGTGTGCAGCTCATCATCTAAGACGGGATTTTGAAATGGCTTTGGATTAAATTGATTTTGTCAGACAGCGATTGTGTGTCGGCAGCTCTGAATCAGCGAGCTGGCGCTGACTGAGCATCCGTCTCTGATGCCTGAAATTTTGATATTGTCAAGTCGAACAAACTTCTGGAAGGCCGATCTGCAGAAATGCGCTCCTCACAGTAGCTGGCTCGCCCTCAGAGAAAGAGAGAGGGAGTGGGAAGGAGAGAAAAAGACGAGGAGAGGGGCGGTAGAAGGAGGGGATCTGGGAATGACCTCTGGTTTCCCCCCTGCTCATGAGAACCAGATGTTCTCCAGAACTCCCAGGCGTCCCATTTTCGTCATGCACCAACACCCAGAGGACCCAGGGATCCTGAATTATTCCCGCTGTATTCCCTGAGGGTCTCTGAAGCTGTTCGACCAGCTGGACCTCTCCTCCTGTCTGCACAGATGACACACTGACGTGTCAATCCATGGGAAATCTGAGCGCTGCGGCCGCCTTACAGAGCAACGTGTGGGAGCGATGTGTAGTAATGTGAAGCGCTTTAAAGATGCTGCAGCAGCTGAGAGGTTGTTGTTCCGGCCAGATGTTGCATGTTAGAGGTTAGAATGCATCAGTGTTATTGGTGTGTGGCACTTCTCAGTTACTAGCCCGTAATCACCACGTATGTTCTGACCCAAAAGTGCTTCTAAAGGCGGGTGTAATATTTCACTGTGACAACAAAACAAAACTTCAAACCCGGCGCTCACCTTCTGCTCCATAAATCACCACAAACAAAATGCAGCAACGCTGACGGTGGAAACCTCTCGAACGCTGCATTCCTGCTCTCTGACTCACACCGACACTCCCGGGGAGGGAGGGCAGCCCTGTGGAGTGACCCGACACTCAGGGGGTCAGTACGACCTTCATGGTCTAAGTTCATGTCCAAGTTTGTTTAGTGGAGGTGCTGGAGGTTGAATTGACTTTTCAAACGACTTATTTCCCTGGGGAGACTCTTATGTAAGACTACACACCACATGGTTATTGCTCTTTTTATACCGTCTGTTCTAAGGGCCAGTTCGTATAAAATTAACTTATTATTATTATTGTAATCATAATTGTTTACTGGTTTATTTTATTATTGTGACTCTCAAGTCATAGTACGTCAGGTAAATCCACAAGATATAGAAAAACACTAAATTAACAGTTATTCCACAAAGAAATAAAGTGAAACATACAGTACTGTATTTCACTACACTCTAATTAGACATAGAGACATAGAAGATTATGTGTGGTGTTTTTTTCTGGGAAAATGTAGATTTGAAGGCACTTTACATTTTCTGATTTTAAGTGATATATTATGAGTTTTCAAAAAAGTGGATACCAATATGGTTCAGATGTAACATCAAGAGATTTGACCACTTTCAGGCCAAGAAAATTAAAGCTGCTATTTTAAATATTTTTATATTAACTTGCACAAAATGACCATTTAATCTATAAAAGGTGTTGCTCGTATTGAAGAAGCCACAGATAAGTTTACTAAAACTACATAACAGAACAGCTGAATTAATGCACATGGAAAAGTATTTATATCAACAGAGCTTTTCTCAGGTGTGTGGTTGGAACATAATAATCCCTCCTAATGGAGAAAGGCCTATTCCTGGATTTACCTGAATATTCCTGGAGTTAGTTTTCTCCCTGACTTTCCTCTCTGTGTGTTTCCAGCTTGTGACTGTGATCCTCGGGGAATCTCCAGCGAGCAGTGCCATCGCGCCACAGGTCAGTGCACCTGTGTGGAGGGTGTTTCCGGCCCACGGTGCGACAGGTGTGCCAGAGGCTACCAGGGGGAGTTCCCCGCCTGTGAACCCTGCCACCAGTGCTTCGGCATCTGGGACAACGTGGTCGGCGAGCTGACCAATCAGACTCGACGTCTGGAGGCCCAAGTGACGGAGCTCCAGACCATCGGGGTGACGGCGCCGTATAAAGAGTTAATCGGCAGCTTGGAGAGAAACTCCAAGGCTGTTAGAGACATAGTAGAAAGCAACCCTGCAGCGGTGAAGCTGGAGCAGATACAGGACCTAATGCACCAGATCATGTACGTACAAAAACAAATAGAGACCCATAGATGGACATAGTAGACACCCTTTCATTACTGTGTCGCTGTTTTCTCAGTGGTTTGATGTCCTACCTGAACGGAAAGCTGAACACGACGGAGGAAACCTTGAACGTTCTCCACGATGACGCCAACTCCACCGACGTAAACTTGGACGCGCTGACGAAGGAGGCCAACCAGCTGGAGCTGAGCGTCCAGGAGCTGAGACAGCAGGTGTACGACGCCAAGAACGCCAACATCCAGGGTGAGAAATCAAACTGTTGGACAGAGACAGTGTGTTTATTTAAACCTTTAACTTGCGCGGAAACAAGCACATCGTCAGCATATTGCTTCACATTCATTCTGTTACACTGGGTCACATTTTTTCATGAACTAAAAGAGAAGAAGAAAGAGAAAGAACTGAGTCATGCCACATCTGTACTGTGTGTTTTCAGGTGCCATGGACACGATCACAGCAGCACACACGCAGTCTATGATGGCGGAGCTCAAGGCCAACGCCTCCACCAGTGATCCCAGTAACACAGTGGAGCAGTCCGCCACCGTACGGAAAGCCACGGAGGACAAACTGAGCAGCAGTCAGAAGGAGTTCGACCGCAAGCACCAAAGAAACTCGCAGAAGCTGGACAAGCTGTCCGACGAGATGGATAAGTTTGACCTGGCACCGCTTAGCGAGAAGGTGAGAAACACCGGCGGAGCAGAAACCACAACACAAAGATTATATTTCCTGTATTATATTCTATATCATATCAACTATTATAAAGAGTTTCCCTCAAACTGACACACTTACTCTTCCTCTGCAGACGTGTGGTGGTGCAGCAGAAGGTGACGGCTGCTCCGGCTCCCCCTGCGGTGGGTTGGGTTGTGCCGGCGCAGACGGAGCTCCTCAGTGTGGAGGAGAAGGATGCCAAGGCCTCGTCACCACCTCCCAAACTGCTCTCAAATCAGCCAAGGACCTGGACCAGGAGATCCTAGCAGCGATGCAGGAGGTGGACAAGCTCTCCAGGATGGTAAGTGTGAATATAGTCATTTTATTTCATCACTAATATAGAATAACTCAGGATGGATTTTTGTTCGTGGTCAGGTGTGGGAAGCCAACGTCCGTGCAAACGAGGCCAAGGGGAACGCGATGGAGGTGCTGGTCAAATCCAACCGCAGCAAGGAGAGGGTGGAGCAGAGCAACGAGCAGCTCCGCAACCTCATCAAAGAGATACGAGACCTCCTCATGAGTGAGCACGCCGCATCGCTGCATCTGTCCGTCCATGCGGTTCTACAAGGACGTGCTTTTACTTTTCAGAGTCAGTGATTGTGTTTCCTTTCTGATAATCCAGATGACAAGGCAGATGTGTCAGTGATCGAGACGGTGGCCAACGAGGTCATGGCTCTGGAGATGCCGACCTCGACAGAGAAGCTGAAGGAGCTGACGAAGGAGATCAGGGAGAGGGTGGGCACCCTGACCAGCGTGGAGACCATCCTGAGTCAGAGCGCTGACGACATCCAGGCTGCCGAGACGCTGCTGAAGGAGGCCAAGGCTGCCAGGTGACACGCACTGGTTTCCCTCACCTTGTCTCTGCGTGATGTACGAATAAAGTTATGTTACTTAACACGTCCACTGTCTGTGTGTCCGTCAGTGAGCGGGCGTCTAACATGAAGGAGACAGCAGACGTAGTGAAGGCAGCCCTGGATGAGACTGAGCGTGCTCAGAATATCGCCATGGACGCCATCCAACTGGCCCAGAACAACACTAAAGGCACCCTGGACCTGCTGATCTCTGTGAGTTTGACCTCTGACCTCTGAGTGACGATGCAGAGGTGACTGCTGGAGCAATAACGAGCATGCAGCATAGAATTTAACAGCTTTCAGTGACTTTCATTTTATTGGTATGGAGGCAAAAATGCCATTCCCTTTTTGTAGTGTAACACCTGGACATAATTGTAAAAATGTTTATTTGTGTGTGTGTGTGTGTGTGTGTGTGTGTGTGTGTGTGTGTGTCAGGTGGAGTCGGAGACGGCCATGTCGGAGCTGAAGCTCAGTAACACCACAAGCCGTCTGGTTCAGTTGGAGAGGGAGGTCGGCCTGCTGAGGCAGAACAACCTGGAGGTGAACCGGCTGGCGGAGACGGCCGACTTCATCACCGACCAGGCCAAACTGGAAGCAGAGGAGGCCCAGCAGGTCTGTCACACACACACACACACACACACACACACCACACACACACACACACACACACACACACACAAACACAAACACTTTCATGTGCTGCTGTCATCCCTGTAATGCTTATTTGTATGTGTGTGTGTGTGTGTGTGTGTGTAGGAGTTTGACGTGGAGGTGAAAGCTAAATTGGAGGAGGTGGAGGACCTGGTGGGGGACAAAGGGGAGTCGGTGCTGCAGGCGAGAAGGAAAGCAGATGAACTGCAGCAGGAGGCCAAAGAGCTGCTCGCTCAGAGCAGCAGCAAGCTGCAGAGACTCGGAGGTAGCCGATAGTATATATAGTTTATTTATGTGTTTTCATAATGCATGTTCAGAGCTTGTAATATTCTGTGTGCAGACTTTTCTTTTTCTTTTTCCTTTATATGTCGATTCTGTTTGGCAACTGTTCCCAGCTGGGGCTGAATGTGCAAACTAGGGCTGCGACTAATGATCATTTTAATGATCCAATTAATCCAGTTTATTACTTTTGGCTATAAAATTGCTGCAAGTGTCATTACAGTCCAAGGTGACATCTTCAGGAGACTGAATTACAGTCCAAAATCCAAGATATTCAGATTATAGTGATATAAAACAGAAAAGCAGCAAATATTCACACTGGAGAAGCTGAATGTGCATTCTTCTTACCGCTATCCTTACTTTTTTGTCTGTTTCCTGTTACCGTCGACTGCTGCGATTATCTATTTATTCGACTTGTATACTGCTTCACATACAACACACAGTGGTGTCACATCTGTGCTTCTGCGTTTTCAGAGCTGGAGATCTCCTACGAGGCGAACCAGCGCATCCTGGAGGCCAAAGCTGCAGAGCTGGCCGAGTTGGAGCAAACCGTCCGCAAGATCCTGGAGGAGATCAGCCACAAAGTGACTCTGTACAGCACCTGTCTGTGATGAACACCTGGAAGCTCCACCACCTCAAGCTCCTTCACTGTCCTCAAGAGCACTGGCCGGGATTTTAATAGCACCAAATGTTTGGAAAGGATTTCAGAATACTGCTCCCAGATGATTCCCTGAGTAATTCATAAAAACTATTCGGACCAAACACTGTTAAGATGTTTGACACTGTCAGTGCCAAAGGTTTTGATTGTGTGTGAGCCACTAACTTAACACCGGACAGCTGTGCCAAGAAGTATTTTAACAATGGGAAAGCTGCCAAAGACCGTTAAAGTGTTGATGTCCCAAAGGAAACCACTGAAAGCCAATGTGACCTCAGTGCTAGAAACCAGAGAATATAGAAGAATTTAGCCGTGTAAGCTATGACAATCTGTGTATTTAAACATATGAATGAACATATTTGATAGAAATATTAAAGTTTATATGAACTTAATAAGCCCAAAGATATGAAACATTGTCTGGACCTTTGTGAAAAAGTGCTTTGACTATGAACAAATNCAATGGGAAAGCTGCCAAAGACCGTTAAAGTGTTGATGTCCCAAAGGAAACCACTGAAAGCCAATGTGACCTCAGTGCTAGAAACCAGAGAATATAGAAGAATTTAGCCGTGTAAGCTATGACAATCTGTGTATTTAAACATATGAATGAACATATTTGATAGAAATATTAAAGTTTATATGAACTTAATAAGCCCAAAGATATGAAACATTGTCTGGACCAAAAGGCATTTGTGAAAAAGTGCTTTGACTATGAACAAATAAATTTTGATAAGATGAAGCTACTGAAGCATCCAAGTCGTTGTTTTCATTAGATTTATTTTTCATTTACAGATGTCCCCAGGTTTTGATCAGGACATTGTGAAATAAAACTAAAAATGTAAGCTTGTTTGGGGAAAATAAAGTATCTACAAACCATTTAAAAATGTTTAACTATTAGAATATTCTACACCTTTCCAGCCTCGTATGACAATATGTATATGGAATATAATGTATAATGTATATGTGTATATCTTTCCAGCCTTGGCTAGTGTTTGCTAAAAGCTTGAACAAAGACGGCAAACTGTGTACAAGAGGAAACATATTTTATTTGTATTGTTTTAGCATTCATAAGAATATTTATTCCTGTTAAAATAGATCAAGCTCCATGAAATAGAAATGAATTCCATACAAAAAGGCGACATGATCCTACAACACAGGCTTTACTCGCACAGATAGACTCCAGTGTCTTCAGCTGTTCATCAGATACTTTGCTAAATGAACACCTGCACTGTTTTGTATAATGACTTTACTTCTCAGGATCTCAGGATCTGAGACAATACAGACGATGAAAGTCCACAGGACTGTTTTCAAACCTTCACCTCACGCTGGAGAAGTGGCACTGTGATGATGGTATGGCTCTGTTATTAGGTAGGACTTCAGACAACACAGCAGTAGCAGCATTCGTGTAGATTTCATGTGTTTATAATAGTAGCACAATAGTCAGACAGATATGGTTTGTTTTAAAGAGCAACACTTACATTGATATTGTTGTCGTGAAGCTGCAGGTGACTAATATTTTTTTTTCCATTTAATGCCACAAAAATAAAAATTATTCAGTGTATTCTTCAGAGCAAACGGAAAAGACGATACCATGGGACAATTAAGAGACATTTTAATCATTTTTTTGGGATTATTTTCAGCAGCTTAAGGCATGGTGAGGTGGGTTTAACAGACTGACAAGACTGAAGCTAATGAGGAAAATCCTCCCACAAACACACTGGAATGAGCTTTGCTTTCAGACATCTGGTGTAAAAATATATGGAGATGTGGTCAGAGAGAAACCCTCACATATATGAAGTCAAAGACCGGCACAATCTTAAATCAAAATACAGTATTTTCTCCTTTTATTGGTGAAAATGAAATACCCTTCACCAAGCTCCAAATTAATACTGTACAACTTTACATGAAGACTGTAAAGTGCTTTAGATTTTCTTTTTTCTGTAACTCATGAGAGTAAAGAGTCAAGACATGCCTCGGTCTCTGGCTCTAGTCTCGGGTGCGGGGGTTGCGTGGTGGTGGAGCTCCTTCCACGGGAGCCGAGCTGGGAACCGAGAGCAGCTGGCCGCCGTGCATGCGTTCGTTGACGCGCAGCTGGCACCCGTCCTGCAGCATGCGAACAGCTATCCGTGCGATGTTGCGCGAGTCGTCCAGGCCGGAGTGAGGACGGCCTTCGTACTTCAGACCCAGCTTCTCCAGCATGGTGCTCAGCTTGGTCTGTGTGCGAGGGACCTGGAGGACGCAGAGGAAACGGTCGGTGGTTTGCTGTGGTTTCTAAAAAGGCTGTGAGCGACAACAGAGCTTCTTCACAGCAGAGAGTCACAGAGGGAAAAGGACAGGTGTAATTGATAACAGTAACGATGGCTGAGCTATCGTTAATGTTATTAATTACACCTGTGCTTTTCTCAAACTCATAAATAACTCTTAAATAAAAACAATCAAAAGTCCAAATATTTTACTGCTGCATTCAAACTTTGCACATTTTAGCTTCATTAAAAGACAAAACAGGCACATTAAGTGACTCTGAACAACTCAAAAGTCAAACCTTGTAGAAGTTCCCGTATGATTTCCTTATATTTATCCACTTCTTCGCAAACTGAGGATATCTGATGTGGCTTATACGACACTGGATGTTGAGGAACTTGCTCATGTCCCAGGCCCTGGAGACGACGCACAACAAAAAGTGTCAGATGAGATTTCAGTGAAAGGGTTATTAAAATGATTTTGCTCAGATTCAGCATTGAGCACTGAAGTGAACCATCGTACCCGTCAGTCAGGATGGCATATTTATATTTTGTTCCGAGCTCTCTCTCCTGAAGCCAAGCTACCACTCGCTGAAGGACTGCCGGGAACAGGTCTGCTTCATCAACCATTTTCTGTCAAAAAAAAAAAAAAGACAACACTTATTCATGTAGACTGAAACTCCTTATCATAATAATAGGATACCTATGTCAAAGAAAAAGAGCTCAACCAACCTGTGTTATCCCTGTTAGCTTCACACAGAAGTCTGAAAGCTGCGGGTTCAACTCAGGTTTTACATATTCCTGAAAACTGTCCACCTGCAAAATAAAGTGGAAAACGCATCCATTATAACAAAACTCTTTGCAAATTCAGTCGTGAACAATCCTGCCTTCATCAAAAAGTCAACTCACAATTTCTAAAGTGTGCGTGTTGATGAGAACCATAGGGAACTCTATGATTTCATGAAGGAAGTCTGAGGGATTATCCTCCTCACATGTCGCTTCAAAGTCCACCACGCAGATGTAGTCGTAGTAGGTGTCAGTGGGTCCTCCCTCAGCTGCAGACTGCATCAGCTTCTGCTTCTTATAGTGGCTCTTCAACCTCTTCTTCATCACATCCTTCACTCCTCTTTAAAACACAAGAACAGAAGGATTTAAATATATTTTTTCTATGAAATTCAGTGATCCTCTCCAATAGAAAGGCCTACGACCTGAGCTTGAGGTGTAAAATATTGTAAACATTACCTTGTGTCGAGCTTCAGCTCTGCTAACTTGATCCGGAGCTCATCCTTAGACATGCGGTTGATGTGTCCGTTGGCCAAAGCGATCTCTTTGTAAACGGGGTGACTGAAGTCGCTGTTTGACTGAGACGGGGAAACCTGAGGAGCAGATTCTTCAGCAGGGCAAATCCTGCTGCAAGACTTCTCCTGAAGACCAATGATCTCAGTCAGTATGTGTAAGGAAGTGATATACTGCTTCAAATTGAGCAAATGATAACATTATACAGCATTAAGAAGACTCATAGAGACAATAGGACTCATGCAAGAACACTGTTTGTATTAGGTTTGCTATATACTGTATATTTTTTCACTCAAAACAATTTCAGCATTATATGTAACAAAGGGCAACTTCACATCCTTTAAGTAAAAATATCTGGTTCTGTTTTCATGGATATAATTAATGTTCCTATTTATTTAATTGAGTTTAATGGCACCATGAATCTACTTTTTAATTTAGCAGACTTAAATTATACAGTGCACCACAACTGCTTCAAGCTAATACAGTCTAAAACAACCACTAATACAACTACACTGCAGTATATTCAACCTTTTCCTATAATGTTGTCGTTTGTGGTCCTGCTGACTTGTTCTAATACTCCTGATATTGTGTACAGGAGATTAGTGGTGATATCGGTGGTATTGTTTAATGTGAATCTCAGATAAATAGACTTTAGCATGTCATTATGGCACCAACCTTTTCATCTTCTCTTGTAGCAGACATCTTTACATTCAAGTCCTTGGTAATGATATTCTCCTTGTGCTCGTCCATTTACAGCAGAAGTTAATCCAGAATTTAAAAACAACCTAATTTATTTAAGATGAATTCATGAAAACAACGTTAGCTACTATCTATGCTAACACTGGCTAGCCACAGAACGGCTAACATCCCTGTACGACTTCTGTAAAAGTTTGTCTTCGTTTAAGCCACAAACTAAAATCTTAAGTCACTCAGCCGATGTTTTATATTTAAAATAAAACACAAATAACAGGATTTATCTGATATCTTTGTCTCCAGTGACGGTTGCTGCTACATTAAACTCTAAAGGTGGACAGTTATGACGACTTCCGGTTTGCGCCAAAACAAATGACGCCCACTACCGCCACCTAGTGCTGCGGATGATAATCCGCACCACTAGGTGCATTTTAATATAATCCAGTTTTTTTACTTTGGTCAATTTTATCGTTTTATTCTATTCTGATTTAAAATATCTGTAAATCTGTTTGTACATTATCTTTGTGGACAACTGTATTTCATTGTTCAGTGTGAAAAATAATATTAGGCTAATACGTATTGTAGTTTAATTATCTGACATTTATACGTGATGAATATACCATAATATATATAAAATAGATACAATATGTACATAATATGCCATATCATCATACCTAGAAGTTATCTAACACATGCCCGATGTTTTAATTTATTTACTACCTAAAATCTAAAATTAAAACAGGAAAACAAACACAAACAACTTTATGTTATCATTTCAAAATATGTGTTTTTAATTTATTTTTCATTTAAATTTTTGATATGGAAATAACAAAATAAATTACATATTGAACTAAAAAAGGCCTTTTGCATTTAGGAACACAATATTATAATGTAATTTTTTTTTTTCCAGACATCTTTCAAAAATAAAGTCAAAATAAAATACTTAAAAATAACCGTGATGTTCAGAAGGAATAAAACAGTTATAATTTTTTTTTCCTTTTTTTTTTTTTTATGGGATTGAAGGTGATATCAAATTAATAAATAATATCTCAACTACTTTTAAATACTACATATTTAAAGCACTGTTCATATCTGACAGCTAGGTGTCACTCTACTCTTAGTTTTAACCTATGTCCCACTCATGCATATATACTGTAGACTACAGGTTTACATACCTTTAGTTAATGTAGTGTACCCAGTGCAGATGTTTGAGCCTAACCTCTGGCCCGGTGTCGGTATGAGCTGTGCCTGTCAGAGGCAAATGAACTCTGGCAGAAACAGAGCAGTGTGCAAGGCAAAGAGCAGGAGCAGAGAAAAGGAGCAAAACACCGTCTGAATAATGAATCTGAAGCTGAAGAAAACTGGATAAAAGATTCATGATGCACAAAACAGCTGGAACATGGACTCACTACTTGTTCTGAGTGTGAGATTTAACATGTCTATCAGTGTAGACAAAGTGTCTCTGCAGTGGGAACATGTTAGTTATGGTTTGATGCTCGGCTCTCAACAAATCAAATCAAATCAAATCAAATCAAAATATCTTTCTCAATATAGATCAATCAAAACCATCTGACATTTATTTCAAGATGCGACTGTCCACAACTCTGTGGGACCATTTATTCATAATCTACACTTCTATCTTAAATGTCTTATTCTATTGTATCCCCTTCTATATCTTCTCTTAATACCTTTAATCTCTTATGTAAAGCACTTTGACTTTTATTGAAATGTGCTATAAAAATAAACTTGTCTTATCAGTAAACTGCTGAACTCTGCTGCTTGGAAATTTATTAGATTTTTATGGGAAAATATAATTAAAAAGTAATATATCTTCTCTACAGCTTATTAAAATAGGCAATATTTACAGAAAGATCCATAAATCCATGTCAGTTAAAGCTATATTCAAAGTTTAAGTTACAAGTGCTGATAACCACATTTTAATCACCACTAAATTATGTTCTGACTGAAATCTCATCAGATCAGGCCATGAGATGGAAAAACGCATTTAGATTTAGATTCATTTCATGTCTCCGAAATAGTGGAAAACCAAAGTCAAATTAACTCGTTAAATTGTCATTTTAACCACATCTGACAACCTCATACACTGTGAATGTCACCAGCCGTCATTGCATACTGATTCGTTTTTCAATGCGGCATTGTCATCTGCTATGCCTTGTGTAAAATGTTAATAAGTGGGACATATTATTGAACGAGATAAGTTTCCAGCTTCAGAAATGTAGCCTATAATCCAGGTTTTCAAAGGCTGAAAGGGTTTTTTTGTAGTTTGAAGTGAGATATTGTATAGACACAGACATGATACTCAGGATATCATCATCTCTGATGTCCATCGCATACAAAGCTCCATAAACCATAAAAACTCATATTCAGTGTAAATGTATATTCAATGTACAGTATAATACGGGAACCTCATCTGACAATAATTAAGTGATTTGACTATAAATTACTTTCAGTTAATGGTAAAAATATATATTTTTTTAATTCTAAATTACCAAAACAAAGTGTTGCATGTATGTGGTTTTTAAAAGGAGACATTTTAATTTGTATATAAAACTATAATATTTTGATACTAGAAAGAACACAGTGGCAGTGGTTTACTTGCACTTGGTTATTTCCTAGAACCATTCTGTACAATGAATAATTTTAATTTTTTAAGTAATTGTTCCTGTTAAAACTAAAGTTCTTTTACTTGAGCAGAATTTATTATGAAGGCAGGAGCAGAGTTTTCAATTGTGTGTGTATTGCTGCTTTAGGTTCAGTAAAAGATCTGAGTGTTTTCTCCATCACTGCTTCATGTTTTCTCTCCACAGCAGCGCACCACACTGCACAGACGGTGGGAGCTTGTCAAAGTAATTTACACCCATTTTATGTATGAATTCCTTATGATGCTCGCAGAGCGGTTTGATCTTTACAACAGATCAACCGTGTCCTTACATCACGCAGTCCGTCTGATGGATAATGTGATGTATAATGGATGAAATGTTGGGAATAAAATTTAAAAAAATAAAAAAATAAATAAAAAAAGGCACAGATAGGAAACAGGAACAATCTTAGAAAAAAAAACAACAAAGATTTATTTTCTCATTTGAAAAAAATAATGTCATGGAAAACTCATAACTAGAAACTAATGCACATAGAAGAGACAGAAAATTGAAAATATACATTATGGACTTACAAATACAGCTTTGTAGAGAAGGTGCATGTCTCTCCTGAAGATAGAAATAGTGTTTGGGCCAATTTGGAAAAAGCATCAATAACTAATGGTACAAAAACAACAAAAAAATTAAAGAATTTCAGTGTTATTTAAAAAGGCTATGGTGCCTTAAAAATCTCCATATTTGGCTTTTGGCCATATTTTTATTTTTTTTTGAAGGGACATAAAAAGAATAGAGAGTTACACAGTAAAAGAAATAAGCTGCATTGAAAAGGCATCAGTCCCATTTCAACCCGTCGTCACCACGGTGACACAGGGTTAGGGAGCATGGAGCTACATTGTTCAGTTCCCTCCGTCCAGTCTGTGATGCTGTGTTCATGTCGCTCGGGAAAAACAGCCACTATGATACTGATTTTACCACTCACGTCAATATATTATTATCATATTATTATTCAATCATCTTATGGGTGAATTCTGCTTGGGAAAAGATTTTTCTAGGTTTCTTGCATTTCGGTGTTTTAGTGCAAGAACAGACGAACCAAAACTCCAGGTCGTTACAATTCAAAAGTCTTAAAATATGATGGCAGGACTTCCTGTGCTCGTTTCAGACATCATGTCCAATGAGTCAGTTCGCAGCTGTGCAACACAGTCAAGTGTGAAAAGGCTGACAGGAATTAATATGAGTGATTAAATTGCTCAGTAGCGATCACCCATGGTCTTTTTCTGTGGCTTAAAACAAGTTTCAACAGGTGGGAAACCTTTCAAGTCTGGACTTTGAACTGCTTTACTGTAATTCCCACTGGACATGAATGCAACAAGACAACAAAGGCTTCACACAGAAGCTAATTTGTTCTGTTCAACCTCGTGTAAAAAGGCAATTCAATAAAATCAGGATCTTTAAGTCAGACGTGTTTGCATTCGGAGCTTTGTCTCTAATCGCAGAGGAGGAATCACAGATGGGCTCTGCTTCTCTTCTCCTATTAAAAGTCAGTGCTGCTCTCTCAGGTAGGCCTTCCTCACAGTTTACATGCTAGCTGGTTGATGTTAAAGCTGCAGTCTTTGGAACTGAGTAAAGCAACTTAACGGACCAAGTTTTAATTCTTTTTTTTTTCTTCTCTCAAATCGCTTTGAGAAGCCGGAAAACATAAAAACAGATTTTACATGAAGTTTCAAATGAACATGACAGGAGGCAGTTCATAAGCTTTCCTCTTAGGGAATGGTTTGACATTTTGGGAAATATGTTTATAAGCTTTCTTGCTGAAAGTTAAAAACTAAATATCAAAAAGGAGATATTTGTAAGTTTTGCTATAACGTTAGCATTAACAGCTGTTTACTTACCAGTTGCAAGTTCAGCATCAAACTTCATTCCATTACTCTACTAAGATCTGTCTCCAGTGATGGAGAGCAACCCACTTCTTTTGCTTCTATTTTTATCACTCCTTTTCTTCTGCTGAAGTTAGCATGCTAACCAGCTAGCCCTGGTCTCACTACCCTTTCCGATACCGAGTCACTACGGTGTCAAGTCTTCGCTGCAGAAGTAGCTGCTCAGAGGACGTATTATAACCTCGTCTTGTAAACGAGGCTGAAGCTCTTAACAAGACCTGTAAGTAAACAGCTGTTCATGCTAACGTTGGCTACGTAGCAATAGCAAAACTTACATATAGCTATTTTAAAAAGGTAATAAAAACTGCCTACCAGCACCTTTAAAGCACAAGAATCAATATATTTATTTAGTGTGTGAAAAAAACTTGCCGAGATGTTCGTGCTTCTGCCCAAGAAATAGTCCCACAGGCTACACCGAAAGTGACTTCATCTCTCAGTCAGAGCCAGGCTAGCTATGCTAAGCTAAACTGATCTCCTGGCTCTAGCTTCATATTTCTAACATGAAAGTGGTATCAATCTCCCAAAATGTCGAACTATTCCTTTAAGAAACACAGTACAGACACACACAAGCAGGCGTACAGTACGCAAACACACAGACTGACACACTCAGACAGACACAAACACAACCACGGCTTAAAACAACGTGTCCCAGGCTTCAAAATTGTCCTTTTGAATGAGACACTGACAAGAAAAAACACCACATAAATACAGTGTAGTACAGACACACAACACAAATCAACCTTCAGGTGGATGTGTCTTTGTTGTTAGTGACAGCTGGCTGGTGTACAAGGAGGCAAAACGGATCGACTGGCATTACGCACACACAGCCAGCGAGTGTTTGTTTAGAGGTGTGAGGTGGTGCTGTAACAGGTGCTCTTCCCTTTAAGGACACAGAATAATCACTGTATGTCCACGCCGCAATAAAAGCCCACTTGTTTATATTTAGACTTTAGTGTCTGTAGGTGCGATCCAGAGTCTCCTGACGACCAGAGGAGCCGATAAAATAGCTCATATCTGATCAACTCCAGCTGATTTATCCTGTTTTTGTCTGATTGTTCTGAGTGTAGTGATTTACCTTTATGGCAGCTTCGTGCCATGTGTGTGTGTTTGCACCTTGAGCATTCGTAGTAGAGCTTTGTCGCACTGGTTCAGTTGTATATCAGCTTACATCTGTGTGTTGTTGGTTGGAATTACTGTGGATCTGTGTGGACCCAATTTAGACATGCAAAGCACAAAGCCATAAATCAAGTCGACGTGAAGCCCAAAATTGCTGGGGAGCTGGGGCTGGTGTAAGGCTACATGTAAACTCCTCCCCAGTTTTTGTGTTGCCATGACAACACACCTCCTGGGAGACCTGGACTCCAGGGTTTGGACAAAGTCTTTCTGGTCTCATTTTGTCGTCCAGTGTGGATCAGTGCGGGAGGAGCAATCGTTCCAAAGCGCATTGCAGATGTTCCCAGTTCTTCCACAGCAGCGCTAACAGGGACACGCCCACGCAGGTGAGCGCCAGGTGGAGGCGGCTACGTAGCAGCGGGGCGGTGAACTTGGCCGCCGTGGAGACGCACACCAGGATCACGGTGACGATGGCCAGCATGATGTTGATGCACTTCCCCAGCAGCACCTTCGCGTCAGTGTTTTCCAGCTGAACCGTCTGTTGCTGCTGCTGCTGCAGCTCGAGCTTCGACACACGGGTCTGACACGACTCCAGGACCTCCCTCAGGCAGACAGACAGACAGACAGACAGACAGACAGGCAGGCAGACAGACAGACAGACAGGTTAAGATCAGGGAGATACTGGAGAGCAATGACTCATAGGGGAACGGCAGTGAAACAGGATTAGAAATTAATTGACATCAACTGCATTAGAAATGAACAGGATGTGTGAATCACATTAGAAATGAATGGGGAAGGCAATATACCTCAGCTAAAAGTCAATACACCACAAATGATTAAAAAAATATTATCTGGCTTCTGACCCAAATCAAAAGAATTACGTTCCACTTGGTTGCAGATGCATGACGTGCACAGCAAATTACTTAGAGAGAGAGAGAGAGAGAGAGAGAGAGAGAGAGAGAGAGAGAGAGAGAGAGAGAGAGAGAGAAGATATTGGGTAAAAAAGATCTATAAATATAAAATATATATATATATTCTTCCTCCTTCTCTACTGTGTAAATATATGAATCACTGTTCTGGTTTTCTCAGTGAAAATGGAAAAATGACCTTATCATGTAAAAACTTGTTTATTGCCTGCTACTTTAATCTATTTATCTTGTTCAATAAAAAGCAATATAAATCATATTAGAGAAAACAGAAGCCCAACTTCACACTGGAGAATCTGGAGACAGTTGCTGTTTCTCAAATCACTGGAAACGACGATCACAACAGGTGACCGCGACCGTCGCCCACCTCACTTGACTTAAAAATGAATGTTTCACTTTCCTGCGTTGTGCGACACCAGCCACCATCTTCCTCCTTCTTTAATCCAAAGTTGTCCATCGTTTAACACTCAATTTATACGCACTTATGCACTCGAAATACCAAGTCTGTATATGGACGTACGCAAATTGAGACAAGCAAGTTAATGTTTGACATTTGTGCTTAATAAAGTTAATTTAATCATCTGTTATCAATCTATCTGACTAGTTGTTGTTTGACTAATCGTTTCACCACAGTGGGGCTCATGTGCCTGCATGTGCATTATACAACAGCTTCTTATAGACGACCTGTGTGTCTGTGTATGTATAGAAAACACACGTTACCTGTATGTCCCTGGCCCTCTCATAGGCCTGATAAGCCACCTTCTCCTCAATACTGGCCAGCTCCTGCTTCAGATTACTGGTCTCATGCTGGTGCAGCTCTGTCAGGTCATTTAACTGGTCCTCCAACCGCTCATACCTGAAGACACACACACACACACACACACACACACACACACACACAAACATGTAGAGTAGGTGGAGGCAGAGTGCCAAGGAGAGAGCGAGAAACAATGCATAATTGAGTGTATGTGTGGGTGAGTAACAGTACAGCAGTTTATCTACTACTGCATCTCCGAGCTGCTGAAAACATTTGCCCTTGGTTGACTTAGCAACAGTCTGGGGATTTGTGTGGAAGCTCTGCTATCTATTTATAGTGTAAAAAAGCTCAGAATAATGGCCCCCTAAAACTGTCAAAAGCTCTTTTAAGTTCAACAGCTGATGTGAAAACAAAATTTGCCCAGTTACGAATTTTACCGCGGGGGATGGGGGGTGGGGGATTATTGGATTAATGTTTTTGTACAGTGAGGCAGCTGCAGAGGAATACAGTACACAACAAAGCTGAGGACACCCCTGGTCTATATCACGGTGAAGTCACAACAATCGTCATCACTGAGACGCCACTGTTTGATTCTGTTCGGCTTTATTTTTCCATGATTGATATGATTCCAGTTACGTACAAAATGTTCTGCTTCCTCAAGGATGATGATTCTTTTCAGCTGCTCTTTGGTGGAGGGGGTTTGCAGGTGTTCTGTTGGATTCAAGCCTTGGATTTATTCACCCAGGTCAAAGTTTGTACCTTTTTATTCCTCCGCACCGCGACAGTCAGAGACGGAGGCCATATTGTTTTAGGGTTGTCCGTCTGTCTGTCCCATTCCCGTGGACACGATATCTCAGTAACGCCTTGACAGAACTTCAAATTTGTCACAAACGTTCACCAGGACTCAAGGATTGAATGCTTAGATTTTGGGGGTCAAAGGTCAAGGGCGTGGTGACCTCACAAGACAGTTTTGGCCTTGTGAACACAACATTTCTAACATTTTGAGGGAATTTCTTAAAATTTGGTAAAACGTTCACCTGGACTCAAGGACGAACTGATTGGATTTGAGTGCCCACAGCTTTTATAAGGAAGTGCAATTCAAAATCACAGGAGTGCAGTTTTAACCAGCTGAGACTTTGCTGGAGATTAGTCAGAGACTAAGATACTGAGGAAGGTGTTACTCACCTGGACTGTCGGGGAAATTTAAGAAAAGAAAAACGCTAAAGAAACGTGTGCGTGCTCTTCCACCTCTTCGTCTAATCTGCGCAGGAGTGTATTTACACAGACTGTGACTGGATGTATTTGTTCTGTAATATGACACTGTTTGATTCCCACATGAGTGAACCGCCCACGTGTTCGGGTGCCATCCTCACCTGTATCGTTCCTCCTGCAGCACCTGTGTGAAGTAGCTGTAGTCTCGTTTGAACTGTGCGTTCATAGTCTCCATGTCCTCGGCCAGCTGTCCCTGAGCCTCCCTGATCTCCCGCACAATGTCCAGCACCTCCCCCAGACGCCCGTTGGAGTCCGACCTCCCAGGACCCCCGGACCCTGCCCCCGAACCCCCCGCCGGGTTCCCGTTAGAGTCAGCGGATGCGGACGTCCCGGTGGAGCACTCGTCGTCGCTCTGGTACTTGGTGGTCTTGGCTACTGTGGTGGCGCTGCCGCTCAGACCCCTCGCCCCGCCCTCCACCTGCAGCCCTGACCCCGACTCCATGGAGCTCTTGAGGTGGGCGATGTTGTCGGCGCTGCCAAACTTGTTCCTGATGAGGTTGGCGAACTCCCGCGACTTGTTGAAGAAGAACGGCGGCGAGAGCGACACGCCGGGTCCGATCGTCTTCACTTTATCCAGCGCCGGGTGGCGCCCGGTGGCGCTGACGTCCCGCAGGCTGCCCTCCTTGCTGTGAGTCCCGGACTCCTTGCTGCTGCCATCCTTGTGGCTGTGCTTGCCGTTGGTCTCGCTGTCCTTCATGCGACGGTGGTACTGCTCCAGCTTCCTCTGCAGCCGGGCGATGGTCTGCGCCGACTTCTGGTTCTTCTTCTCAAACACCTGGCGGATACGTGACACCTGCTGCTTGTCGGCGTTGTTCACCAGCTTCAGGTACTCCGCCACATTCTGGTCCCGAGCCGCCTGCTCCACCTTAATCTGCTCCGTCACCTGAAGAGGAGAAACGAAGGAGAAGAAGAGATGTTAAAGATGCTGATGATGTTAAATGAGAATCAACATTTAGCCTCTAATTTATTAGTTTCTCTGCTTCACGTCTTTTTTCTATTTACTGAATGTTTTTATTGCTCTGACAGTTTTTCCAGTTTACTGTTACTTTTGATAGTTTGCATTTTATTTTGTCTCATTTTAGATAATTCTATTCTATTTAAATTGATTTTATTTTCCTTAAGGAACAGTGTTGGGGTCAATATAAACAAAACTCTAACTTCTTACTTGTTTTAATACAAAGTTGTTTGACTTTCTGTTTATTTCTTTGCATGTATTACTCACTGGGGGCAGCGATTCATTATAGACTTGATGATCTCTTAATCATGTTTCTGTTACAACCCTGATCAATAACTGAGATAAACCAATAAATGTACTGTGTGTAATCAAACTAAACTGTGCTAATGCCTCATGTTCCTGAGGAGGGAATAATTCCTCACGAAGAAAATGTTCTGCAACGTCTAAAGAAATGATCAAATGAACCAAAGATGTGGTGGAATAATTAATCTAATAGTTTTCTGGCTCAGTATGTTGGATATAGAAACGCTTTACGCTTTAACTGCTCGACAGAGGATGACCAATGTTTGTTTAGACGGGACACATGTGTCACTTGTACACTCTGCTCTGCGAGTCCATCACAGTAAATCTACAGAGACGCCGCGCAGGAGGTGAGTAACGTGTCCTCCGACCTTGAGGATCTTCTGCTGCAGGCTGTCGATACCCAGCGCTCCCTTGGTGAAATCCAGCCCCACTCCGTCATCCCCGACGCTGTCCACCACGTCCAGGTTGGACTCCGAGCCGCCGCGACGGATGGGCACCGGGATGCTGAGGATGTTGACATCGCAGGCGCTGCGCTCCGCCTGCGGACACACGGGCAAGAAGAAAGAGTGATGTTTTTAAGGAATCCTTATATTCATAATTATGTTAGTTTGTCCAGTTACATTCACTACGTATAAAAACGGCTGTAAATCCTAAATGGAAACTCCTTAAATTAAAGCTGGAAGTCAACACCTCAATCACATCTTGATGGCTTTGTTTCAAATCCATTGTTTTGGTGTAGACAGGCAAAATTACAAACATTGTGTCACCGTCCAAATACTTATGGACCCGACTGCACTTTTCAGACAAAAGACAGACTTCACACAGACGTCAGACTCTGTAGAGGCGTTCAGGCTCGACTACGCGCCAGAAACCTGCCGCACAGTCTTGTGTCACTGATACAAACGACCAGGCGTTTGGTTTCCCCCTTATAGAAAAGCTTCTTTCCATCTTCCAAGTTCACTGTTTTTCTTTATATCCCTCCCTTTAAAGTCTTAGTGCACCATCTACCTCGGTTGCCAAGAAAGAAAAAAAAAGCACAGAGGATCATCTTGTCTTGAGAGGATTCCTGTGTTGAGACTGGAGGTAGGGAGTGGGCTTAAAAGCAGCTGATGAGACAGTAAATCTGTCTTACGACTGCACAGTGGTCAGTTAGTGGAGCAGCGATGAGCCCGGGGCTCCGAGCAAACGGCCCCCCCGGTGCCTCGTGTGCTGAAGATCCACTCTCTGCATTGACAAAAGCAGACGATTATGTAAGGCAACCTAAAATATTAGTATGTGGTAACTCTAGTTGCCACGGCAGCAAAGCACACACACAGGCAGACTTAGCTCCAAAACACACACACACACACACACACACACACACACACACACACACACACACACACACACACACACACACACACACACACACAAGCAAACTGCTGACATATCCCGAAGGTAGGTTTTTTTTGTTTTTTAATTTAGCTTCATTCTTTATGTCTTTTTCTTACACAAGCAGAATAAATGACACTTTAATTGTGTCCTGTGGCTTTTCAGCTGCACAGCCTCTGACAGATCCTCAAGAGTCAGAAACTGTCACCCCCCCTCCGCCCCCCGCCCCTGAACAACAACCCTTCATCAAGCTTTTCTTTTTTTTTTCTCTTCCATTAACACAGTCATTCATGTAAAGACACTGTTCTGAAACAAACGATATTTCTCACTATTCCTGATTACAGATGGCGAACACCCTCAGAACATCACACATCCATCGATCTGACCAGACGGCAAGAAAAGCAGCCAGAACGAACCTGTGGTGTAAATAATGATTCAATCAATATTACTGAGTATTAACTGTTGGTTTGATCCGTCTTAAATCGGGATTAAATAAATAGTTTGAGGGGGGTTTTTTGACTCAGACTATAGGCACAGTTTTTACGCTCTGGTCGCCTGGGATGAGATTTGAGAACAATTTAAAGCTTTAAGGATAAGGCCGTTGATCCTTTCAGAAACACTGTATTTTTAAGATTTTACTTGCATCCTCTTCCGCCTCAGATTTACAACAGAACTTGTTTAAAAAACACCATAATAATCACACACATAACCCAATTATAAAGCCTTTATAAAGCCTTTATAAGGGCAGTCTTATTGTAAAGTGTTCATTTAGCTGTTTAGTTACACTGTATTATCTGTAAATATGAAAAAAAACATGTTTAATTCCTTTAATTTTAATTTACTCATTTATTGTTGTGCACCTCTCTGAACTAAATGTCAGAAAACAAGTCTCTGGTCAATCAATGCATCTACTTCATGCTCATATAAAATTAATTTAATTAATTAATATTCATAGCACTAGCGCCCTTCTGCCAGAACATTAGGTGGGTGGTAGAAAGTTAATCAGAACCATAATAAGGAGGTAATTAGATGATGAAGGTTGGTAAAGTCATTATGAGCTGCAGCCCGGTGATTAGCGCATGATCACACTGTGATCACCTTACACTAACCTTTCATTTCAACACTCAACGTCTGAGTCACACTCTTTAACATTTAGTCTCTGCTGCCTGTCACATGGTCACAGAGCAGCTGATCGCAGCGGATCCGTTCGTGTAAACGCGCCTCGCACTCAGCAGCCCGGACGCGTGTCGGACATGAGGGTGAACGTGGGAAATTATTAACATGTGAACACACAGAGTGACCATATGTCTGTTTTAAAAAAAAAAGGGGCCAGATATCTGGTCACTACTCATCCTGTGACCCTGGTCTGCGCTGAGGCCATTTAGATTATGATACAGATGGGTGCACACGCAGCCGAAACACATGAGCAACACACCGGGGCATTTGTCCACAGGGAAATACAAAGGGTTTATACTGGGGTCTGGAACTAGGTGATTCAACTCCTCTCCAAGAAATAAAAAAATAAAAAAATGTATGAATGGATGTGAATGCAGAATGTGCTTCTCTTGGAACACGGCTACAGTCGCTCCCATTGGAGGGAACTACGACTATCACCCATAGAACCTGCTGCACGAATCCTGTGAATCTGATTTTTCTCAGCAGCCGACAGACTACAAGTAAAAAAAGGTCACAAAAATTTTAAAGAAAAAGTAAAGTCCTGGTGGCTTCGTTGGTGAGTTTGCGTAACACATGCAGCTTCCTGAGATCATATCAGGCCTGAAAGCTTTGAATCATAGCAAAACAATCTATCTTTACTTACAAACGTCACACGCTCCACTGCTTTCCAGTTCTGTTTTGTTCCTTTCAGGGAACATCGATCGTCTCACTCCCACAAAACCAGGAAAAAGATTAAGTCATTTATCACGCACAACTTGTCAAATACTTGTTGGCTCCAGTTTCTCAGATGTGACAATTTTCTGCTTTTCTCTGGTTTTTTGTTTGTAAAGTAAATGTCTTTGGTTTTTTTGACCAACCTGAAGATGTAAACGTGGGTGTGGGAACTTCTGTTTTGTAATACTTTAATAATCATTAATCATTCAATTAATAATGAATACTGGGCAATACTTGGGCAAAGAGGTGCTTTGAGCTAAATGCTAACGTCAGCATGCTAACATGTTGACGATGACAGTGCTAACATGTTGATGTTTAACAGGTGTATTGATTTCCATTAGCATTAGCATTAGCTTTTTAACACTAAAGCTGAGGGTAACGTCATCAGCTTTACAGGTATATAGTTATAAATTCAAGTATTGCACATGTGCATATTATGTGTGGAGACAAATGTCTGGACCACATTTAATGGCGATCCATCCAATAGATGCTGAGATATTTCACTCAAAACCACAAATGTCGACCTTGTGGCGTCACTAAAAAGGAAAGAACAGGGGATGATCAAAGTTATTAGGATTCATCCTCTGCGCATCATGAATATCTGTACATTTCATGTTTATGCATCCAATAGCTGTTGAGATATTTCAGTGGACAGACCTAGAAAATGACCTACAGTAACTACCGTGTGAAGTAATCATCACTTTAAGGCCTGAACTACCGTAAAATCAACAAAATGAGGCAAATATAGTGTGTGTGTGTGTGTGTGTGTGTGTGTGTGTGTGTGTGTGTGTGTCTGCGTTGGTGTATGATTTGCATTGCCTTTCTATATTCAAAGTCTAAGATTAGAGACTGCATAGAAAGGCTGTGGTGTGTAGTTTATGTGAGAGAGAGAAGGAGTGGGCCAGCAAGTGCTACTCCAACTCCCACTAAGCCAGCTCATCTGAGCGTCTCATTGATGGAGCTGGGAGTAGGGACCTTGCCACGGGGAGACGACGGCCTGGCAAAAACACGCAGGAAATCGCCCAGGAGAACCTTTTCATTTGTAGCCGGCAGCACAGATTCAGGAGCTATTTATTCCTATCCATCAATACATCTTCCACTAACACGAGCCAGAGGTAGAGACATGTCAGAAACAAAGAAACTGTAAACACGTCGTCCCTCATGAGCGATGCAATCTCCCCCCCTCCAGCAAATCAGTGTAATTTCGTCAATACGCAGAGGTGAGACGTAGCAATCAGTCAAAAAAACAATCAGCTGCTGTCCCCGACTGATGAACGGCGCAAAACGATCCACGGGACCAATCCATCAACTGAAGGCTGTTTACAGACAAATGTAAGATCTCTCACTGAACACTGCACATACGTGTTATTTGTCACCGTCAACAGTCTCACAGGAAGCTGGTGCGAAGGCTGTTTATGATAACATCTAACCTGAGCGACACATGTTAATGATAAGACTTCATACTCTTGCAGCAGATAATGTGTGCTCATCTAAAGGGCTGTAAAATATAAAAATATGTTACATGGAATAGAGCTTGTCAATTTATTAAATTAATTGGCAACTATTTTAATAATCAAATAAAATGCCCAGAATTTACTGGTTCCAGATTCTTAAAAGTGAGAATTTGATGCTTTTCTTTCTTGTGCATGAAAATAAAACTGAATATCTTCGGGTTTGAACTGATGGTCTGACATAACGACACGTGGAGACATTAGAAAATAACTATTTTCTGACATTTTATTCAAAAAACAAATTTATCGTTAATGAAAATAATGACAATAATGTTAGTTGCAGCCCTAATAGGCAACAGAACCCAGTCTAAAGCAGCAGTTACACTTGGAAACGATTAGTTGATTTAGTTATTCAGTAATTATTACTAATAATTCAAATTTGTTTAAATAAAAATTAGATAAGACAAACAATTAGACGCATTAGGCTTAGTATTTTCTGACAACAAACAAACTTAAACGATTAACCAGTTCATCAAATTAATAAACAAATAAATACACATGTAAATTTATATGTAATTAATATTACAGATTATACTGTATTAGTCGTCTATTAGTCGGCTCTAACCCTGTATCTGTCTGCACCAGCACGCTGGATTAACTCTGTCTGAATTAAACTGGTGTGTGTTTGAGTGTCGGGAGCAGGGAGTAATGGGATTGGGGGGGATCAAGAGATTTAGCGGAGAAGATGTTCAAAACCGGGTTTTTAAGCCAATCACAGGAAGCTACTTCACCATAATGACTTTATAGGTTTATAGTACATGTAGTAT